TTCCCCATAGGAAATCGGGCGGTTGGACCCGCTGACTCAGCCTACCCGCTGCATTCTGACTGGTTCGTCCTTTTGTCGCTGCCTCAGTTCCTACGGTTAGGAACAGAAAAATAAATCCCCCGAAATTTATGCTACTGCACTTCCAACTGGACTGTAAAAAAGATTGAGTCTCTTCCACTTGGTGGTGAATGTAAAATCGGGCTGTGAAGGAAGTGTCGCGCGTAACGATTCACTTTTGCTTACCCCTCCTCTATTCTTATAAGTATAGAAAGCATATACTCTCTCTCCCCTTTTCCTCCGGCCTCATCGACTTTCCCATTCTCTTCTAAATCCCGTCTCCGCAATTAACTTACTTTGACTTTCCCATCTCCACACCCATACCAAGCTATAACCAACAAAGCCCATCATGACTGCCCAAGCTTATCTCGAACGATATAAACAGTTGACTTCAATAGAGGAGATAAAGAACAATCTGATTGAGGTAGCCTCCCCAATCATGGCGCTTATTCTGATTCTCTACCTAATCTTTAACCCTCTTCCTCGGCCACTAGGAACTACTGCAACGTGTGACGGAGCTTGAGGATGCTTATCAACAAGAGCGGCTGGACCATGAGCGCGAGACGCGCTTTAATCGGGACATTCAGATCCATGAAATGGAGTTAATGGATCAGATATCGAGAATTAAAACTATAATGGTGAGAGCTGATAACGATAGAGCGCTCTATCTACCACGGAGCTGACGATAGCGGCGCTTGGATGGTAGGACCGGGAAACCTTCATAGTTGTGCTTCTCGATGGAGGTGGAATTATTTTTAAGGACGAATATTTGCAACAAGGAGAACAAGGTGGACACGATGCGGCGAAGAAGCTCTATTCGGCCTTACAGGACTACGTCTCCTGCAACTTCCCGGCTATCAACTGCCCTAGGGTAATAACAAAGATGTATGTCAACGTGAAGGGATTAAGCGAGCTTTGTGTTCGCGGCGGCGTCACGACTGAGCCTTCCTTGATCGAAGATTTTGTCCGGGGCTTCAATGCTAGTTATCCTCTGTTTGATTTGGTCGACACTGGGGCTGGGAAAGAGAGCGCTCATGATAAAATTGGAGGTATGTTAAGTGAGGTTTTTGTCTGTTGGGTTGCAGATACTGATCGTTGCTCTCCTCGCTTCTCCAGAGGCTTTCAGACTAAATCTATACAACTGTCATTGCCATCAGATATTCCTGGGTTGCTCGCAGGATAGCGCTTACGCTCAAATTTTGGAAGACACACTGGCCGATAGAGACCTCATAGGCCGAGTTTCTCTGATTGAAGGCCTCCCATTTGCAAGCGACCTGGACTTAATAAAAGCATCGTACAGAGTTACTAAGTTCTCGGATATCTTCCGAGATACGAAGATATCTGTATGGGCCCCTTGGAAAGCTGCGGTGGCCAGCAAACCTCGCGCCCTCCTCACCCCGTCACCCATCCAGCATGTAACTCTCTCTCGAACATCGACCAATACCACGACAACCAGTAACAGCGTACCTATATCTTCCTCGTCCACGAATACACCTAGCTCTGGGGAGTTTCAAGTTGTGCGATCAAAATCGTCTATCCCACCACCCCCCAGAATCGTGGAGCGAAACAAGTACGGCCAGCGTGTAGACCGGCTTGACTTTAAAACCATCCCTCGGGATGAGGTAAACCGCATTAAAAAACTGAAACTGTGCAATTTTTACTATTTGCAAGGCGAATGCCCTAATGACAACTGTCATCACGACCATTCGCGGAAATTAACCAAGACCGAATATCAAGTTTTGACGGCCATCGCCCGTATGACTCCGTGTCGCTATGGTCTGGAGTGCGATGATTCTGAATGTATGTATGGACATCGCTGCCCTCAGAGTGAACCCGGTAAGAAAGATTGTTATTGGGGTTCAAGCTGTCGATTCGACATTTCGGCGCACGGAATCGATACCAACATCGTCAAAGTGACTAAAGTCTAGTTAGTAGCTTCACGACTGAATCGAGCTATAGAATTGAAGACCACAGCTTGGGCTCACCACCATTTAACGCCAGCAGAGATGCTGTTGGGCAGATCATTATTAACACTCCATCTCATACTCATTCTTGCGACGGGGACTCTTCGCTTAGGTTTCGGCGTTCTATTCTGATTAGTCTCCCTGCATCTAAGCCTGTTTCTGCTTTATAAAGGATTATTTTCGGGGTTGATATGTATACACACACACACCTTTTCGCCGCTCAAACCGAGCGGATTGTATTTACTCGTGAATGAGTTTACTGTGTCATGCAGTTACACCAGGGAAGATAATGTTATCTTCTGATAGTTTTGGGTTGTTTGCGCAAAGCTTCATGAGACTAAAAAGCTCTACAATGGAGCTGATCATAGCAAGAACCTTGATAATATCCAATTTGGAGCTAACGCAGAGGGGTATAAAACTACACAAATGCCGACTCATGAATCAATAGTTGTTTGAAATATACCGAATCGCCTTTCCCAACCGAAACAGTCCTCGCGGCTGCATCCAGACGTATCGTCAGACATTGCATCTGCGTCTGAGAGGTGGGAGCACTTGACACCATACTCCTGTATACAACATACGAATGGCCGTGAGGAGGTGCGGTCCAGCTTTGGAGGACCTTGACCACTTTCTTCAATTGTTTTTTTCTTCCGTTCCTCGAGATCACCCCAAAGAATGAAAAGCCGCTCCCGTAGAATTGCCAACTGCTCTGGATCGTTGCGCAAGCTGGTTGGAGATAACACAATCAGCAACGGCCACCAAACAAAAAAATGAGAATAAATAGAGAGAGGAGGTTGGAGGGCTCACTTGGTTGCACTCATTTTCAACAAGAACTCTGCGTTGGCATCAGACACGAAAAGTTTGATCTGTTCCTTTGTTTGCCCAGGCGGAGGGGGTAATGCATCCTCAATGAGGAGACAAAAACGCCATTCCCATCGAGTGATACCATCGCCTTCTGCATTCCAGTACATGCCGCTGCCCGAGTGACTCTCATTAGACTGTTGAGGAACTGCAAAATCTTGTATATCTGGAGGGAAGAAGTCGACAACACGAACAGTAGTTTTGTAACACAGGTTTTGAAATGGGAGACGATACTCAATACCATCATGGGACTCAAACTCATGGAATTCGCTTGTAACTATGTCTTCGATCCTCCGTCCACGAACGCCTTCATAACTGGCTTTGACTGCAATCGGGTTTCAATTAGCCATCTGTCTATCAACCCTTGGTTCAGCAGCCTTACCATGTTCATTAGGTCTGTTGCGTCCTTTCAATTGTCGGATTGCTTCGCTTTCTTCTTTCATGTCCTCCAACTTTTTCTTATTGCGGGATTTTAGGCCTTTTGCTGGCGTAGCATCTTCATCAGCCTTCCGCTTTCCAGTGTTGATTCCTTTGTAGTAATCCTTCTTCCGACGTAGTAACTCGGTAGCATAATCATTATTCTCAGGGTCCACTAAGTGCACGTTATTGTAACGCGCGTTGTGCATGCTAGCCTCGATCGTTCGGTTGTGCCGATTTGCCTTGATGTGAACATATTTTAGACTGATAATGTCGTTATCCTTGATATTTTCTCGGGCAAAGCTCGCATGTGGCTCCCATAATGTCACAGGCAAAGACATTTGGCCAGGTGGACCAGTCCACTTCTTCCTGCTCCGATAGAACGAATCACCTCCAAGATCATCATCTATAGATGGATGATCCTGCAGCTTCTTATTTGTTGTATAGTCGCTCAAGTACAAGAGTGCCTTCTCGCTGTTCTGGGGATACAACTTGACTACTTCACCGATCAGATCCACAAGGGTACCCTCTCGGATATCCTTTATAGCGGTAAGCTTTCTTTGCGTCCGAGCATCCTGCATCGAGCATGAAACTTGAGATGTGAAGGACTGGGGAGCTGTAGCTTGTGGAGCAGAAACATTCCGGAACTCTGAGAGCCCAGAGATACTTTCTAGTAGACTCTGACATCGTCTCTTCTCCGCATAGGACGGCTCAAAGGGGGTTGGGCCACAAATAGGTGCATTAGTACAGGATGGATCCGGATCAAAGCGGAAGATAGCCCATGGTACGTTTGCTCTGTCCCCTGCAATCCCGAGTGGCTTGCCGTTATAATTTCTAATCTGTGTTTAATCTGTCAGTGTAGACCAAACATCAAAGGTTGGGCAACACACCCAGAGGTTCCGCAGCAGAACTACGTCGCTCTCTTGCACAGGAGGCAGTTGAGACTCATTAGCTTTAAAATACTTGACTTTCAGTCCATCCCACACATGACCATTCTTCAGATTATCTGACTTCAGTGTGAAGGTTATACAAAGCGAGTTCGCCGTCTTGAACACGCCTTGGAAAACATCGACAACCACCCCAATTACATTTACGTTTCCCTGTGATCGAAGCGCAGCGGGGATGTCAATCACGGAGGAAGATGACGAATTGCTCGCCATGCCAGGACTCAGGTTATAGTTGAGCGTGGCAGGCTCATGATTCTTTATAACGGGTCTGTAACTATTTCCAATAGCCCCTATAACTGGGCAAAGACGTAGAACCCCCGTAAGGAAGGCACGATATGCGATAAAGTCAAACGTATGAAAACCAGGAGAGTAATCCCAAAGAAACCTAGACGGCGACACGACGCCATCAACGCGTCTCACCAGTTGCTCGGCGCTAACTTCGCTTAGGCGGGTGTGGCGCTTACAGTGGGCGTGGCCGAAAACAGCAAATCAGAGGCCTATCCCGTGACTGAACAATCCCACCTCCGGCCAAAGCAAGCATCAACACTTTTTTCCCCTCCTTCGTCTTTTGCCCGCGTATCTCCCCAGTGAGGCTTTTAGTCTTTCTATTCTATTGACGCTTGCTCATCAACTTGTGGGCTGCTATCATTTGATAAATTTCTTCGATTTTTCTTCTTCGTTTTAAATTTTTCTTTCATCTAGAACCTCAGTGGTTCGTGCGCTTTGTTTTCACCCCTCAGTGTCCTAAGCAACCATGGCCGAGCGCTACATCCCAGAGCATCGTCGCACCCAGTTCAAGGCCAGGAATCAGTTCCGGCCTGACGAGCTTCGTCGTCGTCGTGAGGAGCAGCAAGTTGAAATTCGCAAGCAGAAAAGAGAAGAGAATTTGGCCAAGAGAAGAGGTATCCAAACCCGCGATGGTGGGATTGGTGTGGGAGGCGGCATGGCCGCTGCCACCGAGAGTGATGATGAAGCGACTGCCATAGAAAGCGAGGTATGCTTTATCTGAGCCTTTATTATTCGTTTCTATTCGCATTACTCTAGATGCCTGGAGATTTGTTTCCGACCAAGCTCCTGTCTTGTGTTTTTTCTTTTCCCTTTTTATGCGTCTAGCGATGAGGTTTTCACCGCCCCGGTGCTGGTCGTGAGCTTGAGGATGGAGCACACGACCACCTATCACTCATCAATCGTGTCGGTCTTCATGCTTCTAGAAGACAAATGGCTAATGAAATATTTTCCAGCTTAATGTGGAACTCCCAGAGATGGTTAAGGGTGTCTTCTCAGATCAGATCGAGTCGCAAATTCAAGCCACAACTAAGTTCAGGAAGCTGCTTTCCAAGGAGCGCAACCCTCCCATCGAGCGCGTTATTGAGACTGGTGTCGTGAGCCGTTTCGTGGAGTTCCTCCGGTCCCCTCATACCCTGGTTCAATTCGAAGCCGCCTGGGCCTTGACAAACATTGCATCTGGATCTGCTCAGCAGACCCAGGTGGTTATCGAAGCCGGTGCTGTGCCCATTTTCGTCGAGCTGCTGAGCAGCCCGGAACCGGATGTTCGGGAACAGGCCGTTTGGGCTCTGGGTAACATTGCTGGTGACAGCCCTCAATGCCGTGACTTCGTCCTCAATGCCGGCGCCCTCCGTCCTCTCTTGAACTTGATCAACGATGGTCGGAAGTTGAGCATGTTGCGCAACGCTACATGGACTTTGAGTAACTTCTGCCGTGGCAAGACCCCCCAGCCCGATTGGAACACGGTATGTTTCCTTAGATACTACAAATAAGCGAGCTTGACTAATACCATTTTAGATCGCTCCTGCTCTTCCTGTCCTCGCCAAGCTTATCTACATGCTTGATGATGAAGTCCTCATTGATGCTTGCTGGGCCATTTCTTATCTCTCCGACGGCGCAAACGATAAGATCCAGGCTGTTATCGAGGCAGGCATCCCTCGTCGCCTTGTGGAGCTTCTTATGCACGCCTCGACCTCCGTTCAGACTCCTGCTCTTCGGTCGGTTGGAAACATTGTGACCGGTGACGACGTCCAGACCCAGGTTATCATCAACTGCGGTGCTCTGCCCGCTCTCCTCTCTCTCCTCAGTTCTACCAAGGATGGTATCCGTAAGGAGGCTTGCTGGACTATTTCAAACGTCACTGCTGGCAACTCTAGCCAGATCCAGGCTGTCGTCGACGCTGGCATCATTCCCCCGCTGATCAACTTGCTCGCCAACGGTGACTTCAAGACCCGCAAGGAAGCTTGCTGGGCTATCTCCAACGCCACTTCTGGTGGTCTGCAGAAGCCTGAGCAGATCCGCTACCTCGTCTCTCAGGGATGCATCAAGCCGCTCTGCGACCTGCTTGCTTGCCCCGACAACAAGATCATCCAGGTTGCTTTGGATGGCCTTGAGAACATCCTCAAGGTTGGTGAGATGGACAAGGAGGCTGCACAGACTGGCGAGGCGCGCGTCAACCGCTATGCTCTGTTCATTGAAGAGGCCGGCGGTATGGAGAAGATCCACGACTGCCAGAACAACGCCAACGAGGAGATCTATATGAAGGCCTACAACATCATCGAGAAGTACTTCTCCGATGAAGAAGAGGCTGGTGGTGATATCGATGAGATTGCTCCTCAACAGACCCAAACAGGATTCACCCTAGGCACTGCCCAACAGCAGCCGGGTGGATTCAACTTCGCCAACGGTGGCGACTCCATGGACATGTAAAAGTGGGATTTTATCTGAAATTATTTATGACACAATTGAGACTCGGGCTATCTGATTCGATTCTACTTCCTGCTAGATCTTACGTGGCGCAGTGCGACCGCCGTATAACGAACAAAAGCACCACCAACTTCGCAGGGCGATCTGGCCTTGTAGCGTTCAAGGCGAAATTTGGGTTGCGTTTTCTGCCTTCAAAATAACATTTTAAGTCCATTCCTGTATCCCTTTCGTCTCCCCCTTTTTGAAATTCAAGCACGAGTCAACGTTTTTTCCCCCTCCATTTCCCCCTCTGCAATGATTTACTTTCCCTTTCTTACTTCCCCTTTTGATCGTTCACGATAAACCAGATGCACCATCATGTATCCCTTTTGCACTTCCCTATTTATCGTAGCATCCCATACACCGGCGTAATCGTTTGTTGATTCGGTTTTTCTTCTTCATTTCCTATTTGTCTTTTGACGATTTTTTGGGGGTTGTGATCTCCTTCGTGGCCTAAGTGCTATCCGTCGCTTCCTGACGGGCTTATATATCGATAGACAAATCTACTTCAAAGGTCGATTAGGTCTCGTGGTGACGGATAATTCGATAGCCAAGAAAAGAAGCAATCCCTTTCTTCCCACTTGCCATCTAGGTACAGCATCTAAATAGCGTAGCTACTATCTACTACCGTAGCCCGGTAGCGGCAGTGCCAGGCATACAATCGATCATCAAATTACAAGCAATCATAGAAGCTAAGACACGGAGGAGAAGGTCCTTAAGTATATACAAAAGAGAAGGCATGAGTTACACAGCAATACATATCTCGCAGTCAACGCCGGCAAGCAAGGTCTTCACAATATAGAAAGGGAGAACAGCAACATGAAGAAAATAGAAGAAGGGAGAAACAATGGAGAAAGGAGATAGATACTCAAGGGCAAGAAAATAAAAAAGAAAATTTTGGCCTAATAAAACCTGGAAAGCTGGCAATCATAACTGGAATAGGCGACGCGACGATCCACGGACCAACACCTTTAAAGAGGAAAACCCCTAAATCATAGATAGATAGACAGATAATATTACGCCAATGGCAAATCAATCACCCATAACTTCATCTTCGTCTGAGTCAGCAGCAGCAGCAGCATGATCATCATCTTCCTCTTCTTCTTCATCGTGATCTTGTTCAATGTTGTCGTCTTCTACCAAGCCTCTTGCTCGTAGATCCTCGTCCTCGTCCTCTTCCAGATCGAGCTGCACCTCCTCTTCCTCTTCCTCATCCTCGTCGTCATCATCGTCTACCCTTGCTGCGGATTTAGCGTTGTCTTGGCGCTTGCTAGAGCTGCTTTGATTTCGGTTTGGTTCCGTAGAAGTAGGTAGTTGTTTGCCCTTGGGTCGGGGAGGGTTCTTGGGTTTACGCTCCTCGAGGAATGCGACTACTTCGCGATAGTTCTGGCCTAGGTCGGCTTTGTGTCTGACCAATCTTTGCTTGAGCTGACCGCGCTCTTCGCCGGAGGCGTCGATGACACGGCCTACAATTGCTAAGACGATCTTGCCTGTGAGTTCGCACAAACGCTGTTCGGCCACGATTCTGGATCGCAGGCGCTCGGTGGCTACCATTTCTGCTTCGGAACCAGAGTCGTTCTCGTCATCGGAATCCTTCTCCGCCTCTGAGTCGGATATAGGTTCGTCGTCGTCCGCGGGCTCGTAGGAGAAACGTAGCCTCTTCGCATATGTACGCTCCGCGACACTGTAGATTTTAGCGATAAGTTTGGAGGCTTCACCTGCGATCTCGTGGACCAAGCCTTGTGTCTGGAGAATGACTTCTTCATCGTTACTAGCTTTTTGTCCCGCATGTCGGAGGGTGCCGAAGAGGGTCTGCAGATCCAAGAGTGTTGTTGTTGCCGAGAATCGTATATCATCCAAGCCAGAACGTGCCTTCATGATGGCGACAAGTGTCGAAACGAACAACTCCCGGCTCTTTGTTAAGACTTCGAAGTATTCGGTATCAAAAGAAGCGTTTCCAGCGCTTAGCGCGGTTGTCAAAGACTGGACCTTCCACATGAAGTAGAACAGCAGTGTCCGTATGCTGCTGCTCACTAGTTCCGTCTCTGCCTTTGCGGATTCTTCATCCTCTTCGGTTTCGCGTAGACCACGTTCCGTCAAATGTAGAAGGATATTAAAAGGTGTCTCGGCAGTGTCTTTGCTCTTGCCCTTTGGCCGTGAAGGTGTTGCTTCCAAAATCTGTGTGCAGTCCGTTACACTGGCAAGGTTGGAGATTCTGATTACAGTGTTCATAAGTTGATTGAGAGTAGAGTCAGGTATTGATCTACCCTCCAGAACTTCCTTTTTCCGGGCTAATGTGCTGAGTGTATCGATCACGCCCTCCCACAGTTCCGAAAATTTATTCTCTAAAGCTTCCCGCATATCGTCTGAGCTCTTCGCATGAAGAAAAGCAACACTAGCCTCTGTGAGCACATCCCGATCAGAGTGCGTTAAGAATTGCTTGTTGATGTCGTTCAATAACGATGTATAGGCGGTCGCATCTTTCTGTAAGTCTTGTATCTTATCTAGATCGACGAGGTGCTCAAGTCGTAGAACGGCAGAAGCTGCTTCTGGCACAGAGCCGAATTTATTCAAGAGCTGGGGAATGATCTGCGCAAGGTTATGCGCAATCTCTTCTTGAAGCTCAGGAATCTTGTCAGTCAATGCCCTGACTTTCCGTCCTCTTTTATCAATATCAGACGTTGCGACCTCAAGAACATACAACTTGACAGCACTGCATAGTACTTCTAAGAGGATGACCTCCTGCCCTTCTTGCATCTTATAAAGCTGTTTGATGGAACCTGAAGTGTCATCCTCGGATGAAGTGTCCTCAATCTGGGAATGATCGTAAAGCAGATATCCAGCCAAAGATTGCCATTGGGATAATTCCTTGAGGTAAGGATAAATAGCCTCAGTAACAAGAACAAATCGCGTATTAACAGGAGTGCCGGAGAGCATGTCCTTCGATGCAGTGGTGGGTTGGTCGGGCTTATACTCATTTTCAAGCTCGTCGTAAGATTGAAGGGTGTCGACCAGACATTTGAACTTGATCCACGAACGTTTAGGCGATTCGAAGTCATCTTCATCCTCTTCACTGAATATCTCATTGATCTCGTCTCGAACTTCTTCGATCGTGGAATCGTACACATCATGAACGTTGGCGACAAAGAAACGGCCAGCTGCTTTTCGAATCCGTGGTTCCAAATCGAAGACAAGTCTGCCCACGGTGTCAATGTCGCTGGGCTCAATTAATCCGGCCTCCCGAATCAGATCCACTAGTTCGATCGCAGAGGCCCGTACCCCAGTGTCTGCATCACGGGCAGCCATTTCCACCATTCGTTCACGGAAGCGCGCGGTGAATGACCGCATGCCTGCAATGTTATCTTTATTCTCATATAAGCTGCGAAGTTGGTTTACAACGATAAGACGTGTGTGGGCGACGGTGTCAGACAACATCCAGCCGAAGTACCGAAGGAACTGTCCCTCGAAGAAATACTCTCGGTAGCTGCGAATCCATTGTCCCAGTCCCGCCATACATTCTGCACGAATGTTAGGGTCGACATCCCGATATCGGTGAACGAAGACGACATTAACACCATCTTTAAGGTATTCATCGATGATCTCCAGCTTCCTTTCACCATCCTCAATAGCCTTCTCGATAGCGGATGCTCTTCCTTGATTCACCGATTTCTTTTTCTTCTCAGTTTCAAGCTGTTTGCGAGAAGTAGACACTGTTGTCATCAATTCCCGGGCGACGTCGCAAAGAGCACACATGACTGCCAGTAAAATCACAGTTGACGTATGTCTGAAAGGCCGAGAGTGCGATGTTGACATAGCAGATAGCCAAATTTCGAAATTCTCGAAGAGGTTTTGATCGTCGTATAGGACCGAGGAATGATGGAAGGTCTGGATTAAGGACTTGAAGAATTCTTCCAAGACAGGCTGGAAAGCCCTGAACTTTCTCGCTCTAGAGATCAAGGGCCACTCAGCGAATCCTTCCTCTTGATGTTGATTTTGCAAGTCCTTTACACGGTCCGGCGCGTGGTCGACATCATTGATATGGTCTTGGGTTATTTCGAGATCAGTTCCTATACATCTGAGCACAAAGTTAACCATATCACGTAGTGCCTGAGACTGCTCTCTCTGGTATCGCGAAAGCCATTCGGCAGCAGTAGTGTCGGCATTGCGCCCTTTACCAAAGACCTCCGCTACACAGTAGTACTCATAGTTAGCCACATCGCCACAATAATCAGGAGACAACGATAAATTTACCATAGAGGCCCCGTTCACCGGCAGCCAAACTAGGTCGCACTGTCGGTTTCCTAGGACGGGAGAAAACTGTCTTCTTTCCATTCGTAGCAGGTCGGAAGGCCAGTTGGCTCCCAATACCATTACCGGCTACTTTAGGTTTCTTCGCACTGCGAGACTTTGCTTTAGCCTTCGGCTGGGACGTTGCTTTCTTGGATGACGCTTTACGTGCAGCGCGTCTCTTCTCTCGGAGTTCTTCTTCATCGGGTTCTTCGTCGGCGGATTGGTCCACTTCAGGCTCGGACGCGTCTGCATCCTCCTCGACCTCGTCATCGCCGCCGGCACGCTTGCGCTTCGTGCTCCCTACAGTCGCGATATCATTGGCGCCATAACTCTCGGCGTATAGTTCGGGCTTTCGCGTCACCCGACCGGACTTTCTTCTATTTGTGGACGGGGATGAAGCTTCTTGAGTGGGCCCGGGCTGGGGGCTTGAAAGCGGCGGTTCAGTCTCCATTGTTGTCGAAAGTATTTAGAACACTAGATAGTCATCGCAAATACATTAGTTCGCGTTGCGATCATATAGCCGCTAGCACATTCAATCAGTCAGGAGTGAGACGTACTTGGACGTGGGGTTCAGATGATGATGATGGAAATTCCTCGGGGATGCTGAACGCGATTATTGTTAGTTTTCCTAGCACAGCACCAGCGGCTTTGCGCGCGCGTGTTGCAAGTGTACGCGATCGGACAGACAACAAAAAGACCAGTGGTAGCGAAAGCGTTTCGAGCCTCAATGGGAAAATTGGTGCATTGAGGATACCGTTCCGATGTGTCGAGAGTGGGACTCCAGAAAGTCGAAGTGAGGGGGGTGGGAACACGGTGAACTGTTCGGACGGAACGAACAGACGCGCTTTGGTGCCTGGCGATGACGGGCTCCGAAAGTGAGTTGATGCCCCAGGTGTCTAGTTTTGTGCCTGCCTGTTTGTGTGGAGGTGGCCTCAGTCATCGAACGTTGATCAAAACGGTAATGAAACGGTATGATCAACCTAGTGCGTACTGATTGGCATCGCCAAGAAAGCCTCGCCCGGGGGCGAACCCTAAGCCCTCATCATCTGCGGAGAATCTCAGTATTGATGCCGTAATAGAAACCTCCTCGGTCTCCATCATCGTGGTATGAATGCTCATCTCTAGCTCAACATTGGAAGAGCCAAGACTGCAAATTCAATGGTCGATACACAAGGGCCTTACACCCCGCTTCCAGCTAATCATTCAAGGGGGTCTGCAGGATCACCTGGCCGGACATCTCGGCGTTGTTTGGCTGCCCCGGAAAATCAGCTTGATTCAAAGAAAAAAAAGAAAATCCCATTCTCCATGACGCCATTTTACAGATATTTCAATTGATCCCATAAATGGCAGATATATCATACCGTGAATATCCACACCTTCGATTTTCATTCTCTCACTTTTCCCCTTATTCATTCCCACCTTAATCCTTCTCTCTTTTTGCTCAAAGACCTTCCTCGTCCTCTATGCAGATCACATCTAGAATCATGCCTATAAAGTCACCCTTTGAGGCATCCATTGCCAAACCCGGACAGGGCAATGTTGTCCTTTCACTGCTGCCTCCTTCGAATCCTACCTTGACGACCCTCACCTACAAATATCCCCTCAAGCTCCTCACAAGAACACCTGGCTACGTACCTCAATCCTCCGCTCTATCATGTCCAGTTTCCCGTCCCGTCCACCTCTACCTCCTCACCTATGGCGGCGGCCTCCTACCAGGTGACCACATTGAGGTCTCAATCAAGCTCGAACAATTCACAAGAATGGTCGTAACAACACCACAAGGAACCACGAAGATCTACAAAACAGAGCCCAGCAGAAGCGTCAAGGGCCGCCGTGCCCCGGGACGAGTATTATCAGACAAGAGCCGGCAAACACTAGACGTACGGATCGAGAAGGGAGCTGCAATGTGCTACCTCCCCGATCCAGCCGTACCATATAAGGACAGCCGGTACGAACAAGTCCAAACATTCACAGTCGACAGCACAACAAAGGACTCCCAACGGAGCAGTCTTTGCATGCTAGATTGGGTGACAGAGGGACGCAAATCCCGAGGCGAGAACTGGGACTTCCACCTCTGGAAAGGCAAGAATGAAGTCTACAGCGTCGACGAATTAGGAAAAAAGAAGCTTCTGCTCCGTGATTCACTTATCCTTGATGAAGAGCTCGACGAAGGATCGTTAGAAGATGAGCATGAGACACTGAACCGCACCGGTGTTATCCGGGAGCGGACACGGCCTCACGGTATTGTGGGCACGTTGATTCTCTACGGACCCGTGTTTGAGCGCCTTGCAAATTTCATCATGGATCGTTTTACTTCACAGCCACGGATTGGAGCTCGCAATTGGTCGTCTTCCGCCCCTGCGGCTGTAGAAGCGCCTCCAAATTTCGACTCGAAGGTCACATTCACCGCTGCTCGTGTACGAGCCGGTTTTGTGCTGGTTAAGTTTGGGGCTGATAATTTCGAAACAGCCAAGGATTGGCTAGGCAACATTCTTCGTGAAGAGGGAACCGTTATTAACGAATTTGGGGAAGAAGCTTTGTGCTGTTTGTAATTTGATGGTGCATTTTTTCTGTTTTTACTTTCTTGTTCAGCTTACGGGCAATAGTCCCGATCCTTTGCATGCAGGCTGACCGCCACAAAACAAAAACAAGAGGACTGTGGAAGTCTATCAGATGATACCCAAAACTGGATCCTGTACGATCTTATCTTTCTACATATCACATTTGATGCCCCAAATACAAAGAACACGAATTGTCTCGCATCAATCATATTGCGTTGGTCTAAAATAAGAAGTGGTGAAAGTAACTCACAAAAATTCTAAGGAAACAATAAGACAACTCGTAGGGTATCTACTCAAAAGGAACCTCAACACCGTCGAAAAGGTGGTGAAACTTCACTGCCTAGCATGGTGCGTGGTGCAGGGTGCATAGTGCATATTGGGCTTGTTTGTCTGTACAGCCACACCTAATTTATAAATATGCAGAGTGCAGGCAGCAGCAGCGCAAGCTAGTGCCACCAATCAGAGAATTTGGGTCTCCAGTCCTGTTTGGTGGCACTCTGCAGATCGTCAACGTTGAGGATATCAACCCCTTCGCGAACCAGAACAGTCCAGATATGATTCCTCAAACTCCGAGGCCAGCTAGGTAACTCCCAATACCGAACTTTGAGTCCGCGCTGGTGGGCGCCCCGGATCTGCGCTTTAATCTTGTCGGTTTGTCGATCACTGAGGTGGAACAACCAAGGAAAGCCGATCGACTTCCTAAAAGAAACAGATGCATAGTAACTGTTGGTCCAGTTGAACGTGCCAGGGCCGATCTCGTCGCCGGAGAAGCCCGAGAGGCCCTGGCCGACATTCTCGTTAGACCGGTCCGTCATCACTCCTTCATCCTCTGGAATGTGATCTTCGAAACCTTGACTCTCAGCATTATCCATGTCATAGTCCTCAGCCAATTTCTCTAAAGGAGCATCGAAGAAGATGTCTCGATAAGTACTGTTCGCCGCCACCAGGTTGAAGGGGGTATTGCCCGTTCCCACAACTGTGATAGGGCCATTGACCACGTCAGTACCGTTAAAGTGGGTAAGATAGCCACGCCCGCGGAGGGGTGACAACTGCTCGACGACTGTATTCCATGTCGCATCTCCGTCAGTCTTGAAATCAATGAGTAGGATAAGGCTCTGGGATGGGTCAGTGTCGAAAACTCCCTGCAATGACTGATCTGCAGTAGGGTGGAGTTTGGAAGTTGGGTTTTGTTTCCCGAGTATCCTTATTAGGGGATCAATGTACAAGTTCCTCAGCGTGCGCTGCCGTGTCAGCGACGAAGTGGTATGACCCACGTATAGTTCGTCGTCAAAAAGCCATACGTCGGCTTCCACGCCAATACACCCCGCCTGTATAGCAGAAAACAGGGGAACTGGCCGCCAATAGTCATTGTGTGAATGGCATCCAACTGGGATGATATCTCTGGTAAAGTCCGTGGGCCAATGAGAGACGTTCGCGACCAATCTTTCCTCGTGTTGCCAACGAAGAATCGACAAACGGTCGAGGTCATCCGAGAAGAACGTCATGGCAATGCCACAGGCAATAATAATGAATTGAATGATACCTCTATGGGCGTGATAAGTAACCTCAGTAGTCGAAGCCTCGTGACTTGGGAAACTTACAGCATGATGAAGAATCCTAGGAGAGGGAATAATACGCAGCGGGCTAGCTTAGGTCCCCTACACCGTCTCCGAGAATAGCTTAGAGTACGACTCGAGTTGGCGAGCAATGGCAGTACATCATCAGATTCTTTGTCTTCGGACGCAGTGAAAGGAGAGGTCGCGGCCAGTCCACGTCTCCATGCAGGTAAAGTCTCCAACGGGGTGGGACCAGTCAAAAAGCCCTGGCCATTCCCTTCATCGCCGACAGACTCTTTCACAGACAATTTTAATTCTCTTAAGTCTGCCTTAGGCTCTGAATCTTCACTAGCGCGATAACTGTCAAAAGGGCCGTTGTTTGCGTGAGGAGTACCAATGCGGGTGGAGTTCGAGGAGGCAAGTGGGGAGCGGAAAGGGGACGACATTCTTGGCTACAGGGCTTGTGCCGATGGCGATCCCGCAGCTGTAAAGATAATGAAGAGTCAAGTCTAGTAGGTACTCTCTTCCTTCACGAAGTCTTCTCCGCGATCCAACCCAACATGTGCGGTGTTGGAAATCGTTATTGGGTCAGAAACATCGGCAGATCTTACAACCATCGCCCATATCCCACCGGCAGCTTTTAGAGCGGTCGCGCAGCGGGTAAGAGTCAGCTGTTGGTAGGATAAGAGGCTCTCATTCGCTAATATCTGCAACTGTTGATTAAGAGGTGGAGTGCCTAGACCCTGAGGGGACCCTAATCAATACTGAAGTGAGGTCCATATGGTTCCTCCGAAGTAAGCTCTATCTTGGGTTCAACGCAGAACTTTCGGCACTTAGCTCGGGCCCATGATTGAGCACAGCCTCCTCATCAGGGATCCCCGAGGATAGATATTATGGTAGCCTGGATTGTTACTGTAGACACTAGACACTAGTAATAGGATACTTGGGGACATACTCGGGGCAAACTCAATATGGCTGCTAGTAAGTGTAACTAACGCACGTCAGTGTGTATTTAGCTGATACTAGTGGTTGACCGGGGAGCTTACAAATGCTTCTGGGGAGTCATTTCCATACAATTCAATCCCGCGGGAAAGATAATTCTCACATTCTCATGAGAACCATTTTTTCCGCTCAGAAATATCTTTAGAATGCATGATGTCGTCAGGGACCCCTGATAATCATTCTGTTTTCGTATCAAGTATCACAGCTACCCATGGCTCGGGGGATTACGCGTAAAGCTACGTACAGTACACAGACCTATTGTAACGATAGGCAGAAGTCGATAATTATAGCTTGTACGCTTAAGCTTCAGCTGGTTTAAGCGAGCAACCATGAATGTTGCAAAGCTTCTTAGGGTCTGAGTTTATATGTATACTCCGTACAGAGTACTTGTAGATGGTATTAAGTCAATAACCCTTGCAGCATACGGATACATCCCCCTTCGAACCGCATAGATCAAATTTAACGAGCCTGGCCGACAAGAATGGGCTCGTCGGCGCACGTGACTATGGCACGCTCACAAGTGCTACCTGCTACTGAGAGTACAGCATAGCCTCCACCACTATGGAGTACCGTACCTATGGCCACGTTCTAAGAATCATACTCACGGGTTTATCATTTTGCGTCTTATACTCCTGGTACTAAATCAATAAGATGCTATTGAACCCTGACGGAGTGGTATCACGTATTCCTACCTGAAAAGGCGAATCGGGGAGTATTCAACGCTATAGCAGAGGTCCTCGCTTTATATCCTCTTTTTCTTTTCCACCTCTTTTATGATTTCAAGTTGCTCACGGACATGACCAGTATATTGATTTCTAACTAGATAGATGTACATATGCTACTCCGTAGATATGAAAGGTCATGGTATATATATATAAATGGTTATTAGCATAGTCCATGCAACCAGTTAGCAATATAGGATTGCGTATACCAAACTATATTTCACCGAAGAAGGCCCCTAGCCTCGATATCTGGTACTTTTTACAAAAAGGAAAAAGGAAAAAAAAGTCTTCGAAATGATACTCCGAGTTGGTATGTATATGTAGTAGTAAACAAAGGTGGACAATCTTATCAGCCGCGATTAGATATGCCGCCCGAAAGACAAAAAAAAAAAAAAAAATTAAAGTTCCCATCCAAATCCACCTCCGCAAATTTTCATCACCAACAGTTGCAGAACCACCACATTTAAAATGCCTCATAAGCATAAGCGGAAGCAAAATGACGCGGAGTAGGTCTACGTTCTCGTGCGTTGGATTATGCTGTGTCACTCCTAACCCGACCTTACTAGGATCTACGACCTTCCACCTACCATGATCGCAAAGTCTCTCCCGGTCCGCGATCCCAATTCCAAGAACAAGAAATCAAAAAAGAATGTCAAGGACAACAAGCCGAAAGATAAACTCGAAGCCCGTCAGAAAGCTGCTACAGACGATGATACCCCCAAAGCATTTCGCCGGTTGATGCAGTTCCAGACACAGGGAAAGCAAGCGTCGTCGAAACCAAATGCTGGTGAGAATAAGAAGCGGAAAAGAGGGGCGGAAAACATTGATAATGCGACACAAACTACGCGCAAGAAGGCTGCCCCCGCGGCGGTAGTGGACCAGAGTACCGATGCCGAACCCCAAGTGAAGCCGAAGATCCTTCCGGGAGAGAAGCTGTCAGATTTCGCGGCACGAGTAGATCGTGAAATGCCCATTGCTGGAATGAAGAGATCTGATAAACCCGCAAAGTCGAACCTTGCTGATATTCGCGAGCATAAAGTAACGAAACATGAAAAACACTTACTCCGACTACAATCGCAGTGGCGGAAGGAGGAGTTGGAGATCCAAGAACGTGAGGCTGCTGAGCGTGAAGAGCGAGAGGCAGAACTAGAAGAACAGTTAGAGTTATGGAAGGAATGGGAAATTGAGGCCGGCCAGGGAAAGGCGAAAAAGAAGGGAGCTGGCGCAAGAAAGAAGGGTGGACAGGGCGCCGATACTTCAGATCCTTGGGCTAAGTTGAAGAGTAAGGACCGTTTGAATAAACCGGCGAATCCTTTCGAAATTGCCGAGGCACCGCCGCAATTAACGAAGCCAAGGGAGATTTTCAAGGTCCGAGGTGGTGCTAAAGTCGATGTTGCCAATGTGCCGACTGCTGTTGGTAGCTTGAGGAAAAGAGAGGAGTTGGCTAACGAGAGAAGAACTATCGTGGAGGAATACCGGAAGTTGATGGCCGAAAAGAGGCGATAAAACTCCGGCTGGGCTTACGACAACAATCCGGTTCTTTCATTGATTTTTGGCGAAAGGCGTCTAATCAGTCCTCAGGTGTTTCTTTATCCATAATTCTGTCTCTTGATCGCCGAGGTGTCCATATGGTTCCTCTAATCTACTCTGATGAAGCACTCTCAACGCACACTTGCATGGTATCATACTTGTAAATTTTCGAGAAAAAGATATCATAGTTAGAAAGCTTTTTATATACAGTATCTATGACCCAAACACAATGCCATCATAAGATATGTTCACACAGGATGCAGAGTCTACTCTTGCTGCAGAGACTTAACATACTCTGCTGCCTTCGCTTTGATGTCTTCCACCATCTTTTCATTACCACCATCAGCTGCTGCAAGCTTCTCCTCAAAAGCAAGCCATTTCTTGAAAAAGAACCGCGCCTGCTTGGGCCGGAGTTTCTTGCTCGCTTCCACAGACGCGACGCCCTTCTTGGAGTCCCGGATTCCAAGTACACGTTCGAATAAACGTCGGACTTGCTCGGTATCACCATTCTTGATCTCCAAATCCAAAAGGATGTTCCACAAATCAACCCGTTTAGGGAACGAAGAGAGGAGACCCTCGAACACTGTACGACCACGTTCAACGTCTCCGTGTTCAGAGCGGAATTCCAGCTGTCCGAACTTAGATGTGGTTTCGACGTGAGTGTGAGAAGCAAGTGACTGCAGAGCGCGAGGCAGAAGGGCACGTCCACGTTCGGGAGCAGCCATATTGTCAAACAGGAAGCTGGCGTAGTTCAGGAAGAACTTGGGCGACTGGGAGATCTTCTTCTTAAGAGCAGTCTGGAAGAGCTCATCCGCTTTCTGTACGAAATTATAGTTAGCTATCGGAATGTAAGTGGATACTACGAGAGAACGTGGAGCTTACCTCATTCTTTCCAGATTGGATGTAAATACTGATCAGACGCTCATAGACTTCCTGAGTGTCGTTGTATTGACAAGCCCGCTTGAACACCTCGTCGATAGTGTCATCGTTGCCGTAAGTATTTTCCAAGTTGAACATTGCTACCCAGATGTTCAGCTTTTCAGCGTCTTGGCCAATGGTAATGGTGCGAAGAGCACGCTCGGCAATCTCCCTTGCCTTCTCGACTTCACCAAGCTCCAGTTGGAAGGCCATGTACCTCAGCCAAAGGAGTGACGAATCGGGTTCGCCAAGCAATAGTCGCTCATAATCAGCCACGGATTGTGGCCCATTGGCGTCTAATTCACCAGTCCGGTCCACCTGTATCTCAGGCTTGCGGTGTTTCTTCTTCTTCTTTCGCTCTGACTCATCTTCGTCATCAGAATCGGACGAAGCGGCCTTCTCATCGTCGTCCATTACATTGCCACTCCAATCGAAGCCACTTGCCCCGAGACCTCCTTGTCTGTTTGATGGAGCTTTGGTAATAGGTTCGTCGTCACTTTGTTCGGAATCACTCTCACTGCCCTCTTCGACATCGACTCCTCCCATGGAGACGTCGCTGTCGTCGTCGCTGTCATTTTCGGCTACATCAACACCACCGAAGCCATCCAGACTAATGCCTTCGGAATCATCCTCCTCATCATCATTGTCGCTGCTCTCAACATCGTTCTCGTCTTCATCCTTGAAATAAGAAGCCTTCAGTCCGAAAGATATCTTTCCTTGCTTGCGGTCAATCTTGAGGATTTTGGCCTTAACAGCATCGCCCTCGTCGTACACAGTCCTGGCATCATCAACCCGATTTTCAGCCATCTCGCTGCGGTGGCAAAGGCCACTGATATTTGCAGAACCATCGACGACGATGAATGCACCAAACTCCTCGACTTTACGGATCTTGCCGGTGACGATTTGGCCGGGCTTGAGATCATGGAGTTTTAGCGGCGCCTTGTAGTTGGGGTCTAAAACAGACTCTTTCAGGCTGATTTGCAACCTGCCCTGTTCTGAGTCTACGACTGTGACGCGACCCTTGACCAATTGATCAACCTGGAAAGAATCCTTCCACTCCTTAAGGTAAGAGTCTGAAAGATCAGAGACACGGACATAAGCAGTTACACCATGGCCCAGTGTCACAAAGAGCCCATTATCAGCTACCTTCCGTACGAAGCCTCGCACAACATCATTAACTTTAACCTGCTCCATTGAAGTGATTTCGGGATCCTGAACGGGGAGCGATGAACTAAGGACCTTGGAAGGACGGAGGGACAGGGAGATCTTCTTGTTGGCTTTGTCAACGGAGATGACACAAGCGCGGAGCACCTCATTCTTGTGGTAGACTGTGGGGTTTGCCTTGGAGTAGTCGTCTGTCAAGTCGATCATATCAACTGCACCGACTATAGTATCGGTCAATTGCATAATGACCTGCCTTTCAGTGACCTTAGTGACTCTTCCCGGCAAGATCATGCCGGCGGTGATATCATCCAACGAAAGAGTCTCAGAGCCCTTCTTAGCCGAGAGATCCAAGCGACCTTTCTCAATATCCACCGCAGAGACATTGACTCTCAAAGCAGACCCTATGGGGAAGTGCTTTTCCATATCGGCTAAAAGAGACAAGTCATCAGATGCATCCATTATACGCAATCTACCCCGAACGTTAGGGGATAGATTGACCCAGAGGCAATTATCAGCAATGTTGTTGATGAAACCCAACCACGACGAGCCAACTTGAACTTGTTCCAGGTGCAAGGGGACAGGGTCGGCGGCCTGCAGGAAGCTTGGCTTTAGGGAAAGTTCAAAAACGGGGAATTTCCCAGTACGATGGCTTATCGGAAGGAACTTGTGGCTGCGAGCGTCATGAACACCAAGAATTCTCGCCGAAATAAGTTGCTTTGGACGGAAGAACCGCAAAGGCTGCTTCCGGTCTTTGATATCCTCCCACTTATCGAAAACTTCGGAGACATCGATCCGGCCCTGGATGTTGTCGGCAAGCTGAACGTTGATTTGTGTCGTCTTCACAGAAACGATCTTGCACTTAGTAACCCTCCCAAAACTGAAATCCGACATTGATTTGATACTCTCGTCGATAGCATTGGCAACAATGTCATCAGAAGGTGCGCTCTTGACAGCGGGCTTCGCGGCTGACTTTTTAGGACCAGCATGGGTTGCCTCGGCAGGGTTTCTGCTCAGGATGAATCTGCGGAAATCAGGATCGACGGAATGAACTGTTGCTGAGACTACTTGTGACTTGGTCAAGCCAAAATCTGACTTGTTCATATTTTCGTCACCAACAAGCCGTTTGGGCACTAGTCCGATGACGCCACCTAAGAACTCAATGAATACTCCGGTCATTGTTATGTTCCGAACGAAGCCAGTAACTTCGGCACCTTCCTGAACATCCTCAAAGCTTGCTGGGATAAGCCCCTGCTTGGCAGCTTTCTTGAGACTTGCCCTTCCTGACACTCTAATGAGCCTGCGAGTCCGCTGGATATCGAGGACGAGCAATTCGTTGAGCTTCTGGCCAACACGAATCTTCGATAGAGTCGAGCTCTGTTTAGAGGGGGAGCCATCGACTACATGGTCGAGGTTCAACCGAGCTACGAGTCCATAGTCATCCAATTTAAGGAGCAGGTCGTCACTCGACTTCTCAAAGACCGTTCCAGTAACAAGCAGGCCAGGGTGAATGCTCTCAAAAGCTTTTTTGTAAGTCTCGGTAAAGGTGGAAGGATCCTTGCAGGACACAGCAAGCTTCTCAAGAGACGAATCCACACTGAGGGCGTGGACATTCACCACCTGGCCTAGCCTGAAGTGCTGAGACGGGTCCTTGATGTAGGCCTCGCTCATCTCTGACACGGGAAGGAAACCTCGCACGGAGCCGTAGAACTGAACCACAGCACCATGTGGCTTAAGGTTCACGATAGTTCCAGGGGACTGCGCTCCGGCAACGATGTTGTCATAATCTTTCCAAATGGCGGATTCACTGTTCAGCAGACTCTTCTTTAAAGTAAGCCGAATCTGGCGTTTCTCTGTATTGACTGATAAGATCCTAGCCGAAACGGTCATGCCTTCCCTGAATTTCTTTTCGGGGAACTGAAGGGCCATGTCCGCAAAATGCATAGATGGGACAAGACCGGTGATACCGTCAGCCAATGCGACGATCAAGCCATCTAATCCGCTAGGTCCGATAAGTAGCTTCTCGATTTTTCCTTTGACGACGGCGCCAACAGTAACATCCTCAATACGAAGGAAAGGCTGGTCAATAACCGATCTCTCAAATGACAAGAGATACAAGTTATCGAGAGCACTGTAACCAACAACCCTTCCTTCGTGGGTGGAATCCATTCGGAACGGCCCATATTCGGCAGAAATACTTTCAACCTGTCCATCTGCTAGCTTCGACACATGAACGAACCCCACATGTTTTGTTGATCCAATTTGTACATAGACTCCCAGACCAGGATCAACCTTGATCACCTTTGCCTCAGGTACGATAGCAGAAATTGCTGGTGCATCTTCAGAGCTTCCAGGCCCCTGAGCTTCGGTAGTGAATTTGCAGACATGATCGAGCAATGAAAAGCCGACCTTGTACGGATCGGAGGCGGGGAAGGTGGAGATAAGGCGGCCCTTAACTTTGGCACCAATCTTATATTTATTGGCCAGGTCGTCCTTGCTGGAGTTACCACCGGATTGCACCAAATCCACAGTGGTATCTAACATGCCCATTATCTTTCCAGTGGCTCCGCTTGACGTGACTTCAGTCAAAAGGATTTCAGCTGCTGTGCCTGGAAGGAAGGAGTTGATCGTAGGCGCAGTGCTGAGATAATGCGATTTCTTTATAGATCCGGAAGATTGCAGGTTGGCGGACAGCTTCAGGACATTACCGTTGGCGTTCTGACCAGTGACCATGCAGAGGAAGACTGAGCCTTCCTTGATAGTCGAATAATCCGTCTTGGGATCAATTTCCTTTTTAGACATGAAGCCCTTGATATCGGCGCCCTCAATCCCCAAGTCCATAACCAGACCATGGTCTTCAACGCTTACAACCGACGCTTGAACGGCAGTGTTGTCGACGAGATCAGATTTCAGAAGTCCAAAATTGGCTTGCCTCGGGTCAACCGCGAGCTCGATGCGTTTCCTACTCTTGGAGCTAGCATCCGCCGCATTGTTTCCAACAGACACAACGTATGCGCGTAGATATTGGCCCAAGTAGAAATAATCGCTCAAATCAATAGAATCTTCATCGTCGTCTTCGTCGTCGTCATCATTTTCGTCTTCGTTCAGAAGATTCTCAATCTTCTCTTCTAATCTTTTCGAGACCGCTGTTAAGGGAACGTAGCCGGTAAGGTTGTTGGGTAAAGAAAGGCCGATGTCATGTGCACTGATGCTTGAGACTTGACCTAGCACCATGGTTCCGGGTACAATACGCTGCACTCTTCAGCAACCTTCTCCAAAAAAATGTGTAAAGGATTCTTTGTAAGCTTACCTTGAAGTTGAGGCCCTCAATTCGCACACCCTGTTTGTCTTGCGCATCATCTGCACTTTTCTTGCCTTTGGTCTTGCGTTTACGAGACTTCTTCGTAGCTGTCGCTGTGGTGTCGTCCACATCTTCCATCTCTGCATCTTCGTCATGCTCATCGTCCTTAGAAGAACCCTTAGTCGCCTTCTGCTCGAAGAGAACATCTTTTGTGGCTTGAATTTGAATTTGCTTCCGTTCAAGAGGTGTTAAGACGCTGCCCCCACCACGAGGGAAGGACGGCTCATCGTCACGTAGGACTGTGAGCTCTGAGGCCTTGGAGCCCGAACCTGCGTCAGGTTTTGACTTGCCATCACCAGAAGCGCCTGTCTTTTGTTTCTTCTGATCCTTGCGCTCTTCTGCCCCAACTCGTACACGTTTTTGAGGTTGACGGGCAGATACAGCCTCCTCAGCAGAGGCGCCCTTGCGCTTGATTGGAGCCATATCTATAAGATAAGACTTGTTGAGCTGCTCCAAAGCTCTAAGTCCGGATACAGATTTGGCGGAGTAAAAAAAAAATAAAATTTCTAGATTGAAAAGCCGATCGCTCAATCTGGACCGCCTGCCTAATGCAGTAGCTAGATCTACCTTAATTGAATGCCTCACCGCCTGCCACAATAATCGACTCGCGTCACGAAAAGGCACGTCGACACGAGACTCGACAACTTTTTCCCGCGACGTGAGCATTGCTGGACAAGAATTAGTCCTGCCAGCTCCACTATGCATCTGTCTTCTGCCACTTAGCCCCAACACCCTCTTTTCCCTCCACTCGTTCCTGTAGAATGTCTCTGCCTGCCTGCTTCTCTTGATGGCACAATGGTTGGCAGTCATGATCTCCCCGAAGTACCACGATCCGAACCTGTTTTCCCTCCACCGTCGCAGGAGTTCCCTTCCTCTCCGCCGTCCATAGTATCAGATGCTGGTGTCCGACGCAAACCCAAGAAACCTCCTCCTGTCACTCCACGGTCATTCAAGAGATTTTTCACACCTCGTTCCATGCTCAATGGAGGGAACGCTACTAGCGATGTGAGGACGAATCGACAGGCCTTGAAGGCTCTGAGTTCTCCTGCTGTCAATCGCCTGGGACCGGCTTTTACAAGAACGCTAAAGGCTGTTGTGGCTAGGCCGGAGCCTTCGGAAACCCTTCGCACTCCTAGTCGGAAGCGGAAGTTCTCGTTTTCTTCGATTGGCTCTCTTCAGTCATCGCCTTTAAGAAAGGTCCGCATGAGAACTCCAGTTCAAGATGACGAAGAGGTGCATGTCACAGTTCGCGACCTCGATGTGAACACTGCGATACGAACGAGCGAACCGAAGCCGCATGTTATCGCTAAACCGCTTCGTCAAGTATCACCTGTTCGACGATCGCAAGCATTGCAGACGTCGGGACAATTTTTCATGCGGAGTGTCCTTGGTGCACGGGCGAGCCGGGTGACTATTAGATCTAATTCTGGAGCTGGTTGGTAGTTTATTCACACGAACTTTTACAGCACATTCTCACTGTAGTTAAGATTGGCAGGATTTGACATCGACATTCTACTCGCGACCTTCTGACAGCCATACCTGTGCTAGTTCTTCCGGGGATCGTCTTGCTCTTCCCTTTTGTACCGCATCTTGCAACAGTAAGTCAGTCCGACTAGAGAACATCCCTCCTTTCTTGCACTGACGGTTCCCATAGCGAATACTCTCGTTGCAGTAGGCGATGAAGAAGGAGGTATTCGACTGTTGGATTCTGCTAAATATGACAAGAATGGCTTTTCAAAAGCCTACCTTTCATTTCGACCCCATATGAATGCCATTATGGATTTGGAGTTTTCATCAGATGATATGCTGCTCGCAACGGCCTCTGGAGACCAAACGGCCCTGGTCATCGATATGACTACACAAAAACCGATATACTGTTTGTCGAACCATGTTTCTTCCGTAAAACGGGTGCAATTTCAACCATCAGCCAACAACAAAGTCCTCGCAACTTGTAGTCGCGATGGTAATGTTAATATTTGGGATCTTCGCTGCAAAGGCTTTGAGAAACCTGCCCTTCAAGTTCGATGCTCGCTCGAATCCGACTCTGAGTATGCAGCTGCTCCCGTCGCCCCCAAGATGACTTATCCTCAGGTTCTAAACACAATCCACGGTGCTCATGCATGGATGCCTCAAACCCCCGCTTCTGAGAAGCTTGAGCCTCAACTTGGGCGCTCTGACATCACTGTAACTTCCTTGGCCTTCCTTCCGCCTGGCCGCGAGAACCTATTCGTCACAGCATCTGAAGCCAATGCCTGCGTCAGGCTATGGGATCTGCGGACAGCACATAACAACCGCCGGGGAAGACCGGTCCTTCCTCTTTCGACTACACGAGAACCCGATAGTCACATTAAATACAGACGCTTTGGACTCACTTCCATGACATTAGGCGGAGATGGCTCGAGACTCTACACATTATGTCGCGATGGTACTGTGTACGCTTATTCGACGTCTCATCTGATCCTCGGACATGCGCCGGAGCTCTCTCTAAACAATGACCGCCCACGTCGTTCGGGAGGATCCGACAAAGAGGGTCTCGGCCCCCTCTACGGTTTCCGTCATCCTCGTTTGCAAGTTGCGTCATTCTATGTCAGGACAGCGGTGCGAAAGGCCACTGGTGATAAGCCGGAAATGCTGGCTGTTGGAAGCAGTGACCAGTGCGCTGTTCTATTTCCCACCGATGAACGATTTCTTCATTCCACTCCCAAACCGGCTCGTGAAGTTGATCTTCCTCGGAACCCAATGCACCTCACTCGCTCGGGTTTACGTCGTACAAATTCTGGCTTGTCTGGGAAATTGGAAGATACTATACCGATATACCAATCCGGAACGCCCTTGATCGAAGGTCATAAGAAAGAGGTATCGGCTGTGTCATGGACTGTAGATGGTGAGCTCATCACAGTGAGCGATGACTACAGTGCTAGGTGCTGGCGTGAGGGGCCCGACGCCAGGGACCTTCGGATAGGTGGTGAGGTGGAAGGTAGACGATGGCGGTGTGGTTGGGCTGCTACGAAAGGCTCATATGATGATGAATGATTTTCTTGCGAAGGCCACGGATTGATTGTTTTTATTTTTTTGTTATTCAAGCACTGGGGCGTCACGGCTTCATTGTCATTTAGCGGGCGTTTGATTTTGTTTTAGATGGTATTGTGTGGCGTTTATTAGAGAGTACGTGGCATAGGGAAGGACGTACTTGATATATAAGGGGGGTTTTATTTACTACTTGTTCATGAAACTTCATCCTATTCGGATAGAGTATAACTACTAGTACCTAAGTACTAAGGGCTGCCAGCTGAAGGCTCTGGCAAAGCATGCGCCGCGAATCAATCACCTGACCTGAATAAGGTAGATCAGACAGATAAAGTAATTCAAGTATTTAAGCATTCAGACATTCTACGTAGGCCAGACAGGTCAGGCAGGTCAATTTGATTTGATCTAAATTTATATGTAGTTGTGGATCTTGCAGGGCAAGCAAAACACGTAGATATAATATACCAGGACCTGGCAGAAGGCATGGACAACGGAGGAATCGCATGACCTGTGCTTATAACTGTTAAGATTGTAACTGCGGAAAGCTATATAGGTATGACCAGGGCATTCCGAATTGTAGATTCAGAATTACGTGACCTTTTGGCCTTGTGGAATATAGGACCCTGGCTATATCTCTTACAAGGATTATGCAAATCGATCAAACTAACTAGATAGATTTCTTGTACTATCTAGATTACTTAGTCTAAATCGATCGCACTGCCTATATTACCTATCTAGATTATCTACCTGACCTAAATAGGCAGAGCCAGCCTATTCATAATAACCTAGGAATCCGGGCAGAGGAGCCGATTGAAGCGCATTGAAATGATCTAGGAATTTAGCTTCGCTCCGCTGTGCAATAAACCAAATCGCTTGGATCGATTGCACTACTGTAACGGAGGATCTACTACACGGGGTAGATAGCCTAACATACATTGCTAGCAAGGCAGGGGAATATCCCTTATTGACTGAGTAATAGTACAAATACAAAAGAACGTCATTCTTGCCCCGTTTCTTTCTGTCTATTTCCCTTCTTAAGTAGTCCAGGATTCTCTCCTTTTCGGTGAGCCTTCAGGATTATCAAAGGCTCTGAATGGTTAGGCGACACCTCATTTGGCTGGTTTGAACTGACTGCAAAGGGGACCGGTATTTATGTACAAGGAGGGATTGTAGGGACTTGGGCACTCTGTAGAGTATATAGGCCGATTATGTACTGGATCCGTGATAATTGCCTAGATTGCTTGAATTGATTGCACTGTCTAGAGTCAGGGCCACCTACCTATCTAGGAAACCTAGCTGAGCAGCGGGTCATGGTCTAGTAGTAGTCAGTAAGGCTAACCAGGGTGCATAAAGGTAATGAATGAACGATTCTAGAATAGGATTATACAGCCTCTTAATCACGGGTTGATTACGGAGTACATAACTAAAAACTATACCATAACTACTCCGTAGAGCTGGACTGAATCTTAACTTATACTAATCCTACTGTTACCTGGTGCCCTTTCTCTCTCTCTCTCTCTCTCCTTTTTACTTGGTTACTGAGCCATGTAATCCACTAAATAAATAGAGCTCGGCGTTAGTTTTGTAAGAGCTAACTGAAGTTGAGTGAATCGGTAATTGAATCTACGTAGTTAGAAATACAGACAGAAACATATACTAAACCTAATAAGGAAGGTTGCTTTGTCTGCCAGGTGCCAGGTGAGTCCCTAGGCGGATATCCTATGTGCCGATTACACTCCTTTATGAAGCCAGGAGTAGACAAGTTGGTCCTTTCGTGAAAAAAAAGATTATGTGCTCATACCATCTTATTATACTTTTCTTCATCCTTAGTCTAAGAACTCCATGTGGAAACACGTAGATAGCATGCAAACAACCTTAAAAGGTCAGATTAGTGGCCATGTCCGTCATCCTCCTTCACCTCTGGGTCCAGCTTGATCATGGTATCGATACGCATGATGGCAATGCAGGCCTCAACAGCACTCTTGAGCTGCTTGATCTTGCCCATACTGGGCTCCAACACACCGGCCTTGAGGGTATCATGCACACGACCCTTCGTTAGGTCGAGACCGTAGTTCCGGTATGTCTTCTTCTTAGCGATGGCCTTCTCCTCCTCATTGGCGTCACCATCCTGCACGCGTTGGGACAGAGCGTGGCGGACACGAAGCTGGGCAACAAGTTCGGACGAGTCCTTAGCAGCGTTTACAGCCAGGGTCTTCGGAACAATCAGAAGGGACTGAGCAAATTCACCGATGGCGAGCTGCTCCCGGGAGCCCTGTGGAAAGAGTAATTGTTAGTGGTAATTTCCGTACTAAGGTTTCCGGTCAATGCTTACTACTGTGACCGCGAATTCTTCGAGGTAAATATGAAGGGCCGTCTCGACAGCACCACCACCGGGAACGATGCTACCACTCTCGAGGGTTCGCTTAACAGCACACAGAGAGTCGTGCACCGAACGCTCCATCTCATCTAAGCTGAAGTCATTGGGTCCACGGAGAATGATAGAAGCTGAGGTGTGAACCTTGGTACCCTTGACAAGGATACATTCATCATCGGATATCCGCTCCTGCACAACTTCCTCCGCATGGCCGAGGTACGAGGCCTCGAATTTCTCATCTCCGTTGAGGTCAGAGAGCGTGCTGACCAATGTCGCACCGGAAGCCTTGGCAATGCGTCGGAGATCCTCTTTCTTGCAGCGGCGGACGGCCATTGCTCCCCTCTCAACGAACAGCTTCAAGACCATGTCATCGATACCCTTGGTAGTGAAAATGACATTTGCCCCAGACTTAAGAATCATCTCAACACGCTCAATGACAATACCGGCTTCCCTCTCGCGAATCTTCTCTAGCTGGTCAGGATCATCAACAGTGATCTGTACACCAAGCTTCATTCTCTCCTTCTGCAGGTTCATGTCCAGACAAGCGATCTTTGCATCGGTAATACGGGTCTTCATGGCCTGAGAAGCCACAGTGCAGTTAAGAGCATAGCCATTGACAAGCATTGACTCCGTACCACTTTTCCCGTGAGCCTTAAGAAGGTTGACTGCCTTGACGGGGTACTTGACCTCGTTCCTCTGGTTTGTAGTCTTCACCAACAGCATCGCATCAACAACCATATTCGCAAAGAAGTCCGCATCCGATCCGATAATTTTGGAAGACATAGAAGTCTTAGCAATGTTCACCAGGCTGTCCTTCCCCAGCGTCTCGACCTTTGTAGTGATATTCTCATTCATATACTTGACAGCTTCTCTGAGCGCAAGTCTGTAGCCGTTGATGATGGTGGTAGGATGTATACGGTTCTTCATCAATTCGTTGCCTCGTCGTAGGAGTTCTGCGGCGATCAGAACGACAGACGTGGTTCCATCTCCGACCTAGATGGACATCAATATTGAGCTGTCAGGTGAGACGGACGGGGTGTGACACTCACCTCCTTATCCTGCTGCTGAGCGAGATCTACGAGAATCTTACCCGCAGGATGCTCAATATCAAGAAGACTAAGAATCGTCGCACCATCGTTGGTAACAGTGACATCCTAAAGTGTTGTCAGAGCGCTAGTCGAAGCACGCGGGGTTGAACAGTGCATACTCCTATATCATCCACCATCATCTTGTCGAGACCCGAGGGGCCGAAGGAGCTCTTGACGACATTTGCAATAGCTTGCGTCGCAAGCACTACACGTGAGTTTAGCACATGTACTCAATCGAAGCTAGTTGGGATGTAAAGGCTCATAACATACCGTTCTGCTCCCGAACATCAGGGCCGGTGATTTTCTGCCCACCCAAGACTGTGCGAATACGGTCAGCTAATGAATCCGACGGATGGAGGACTTCGAGCGGGGATACACACAGAGAGTGTCCGCATTCCGCGGCTGCTCAAAAATGCCTGCCATTATTGTGAAACTGAGGAAGAGGTACTGCTGGCAGAGTTGTAGAGCTCCGACTCCAGTTCGTCGTCGTTGATGCTCGTCGTGTTTCCGCTAAGAATTCTGCCGGTTCCTGGCGGTGAAGGTTTTCTAGTCGCATCCCACTTTAACGAGGGGTTCCTTTCCTCTCCACGGATCTATTACCTCGCCTCCGCATTTTTGGTTTATCTTGGTCCTTTCTACTCAGCAGCTCCTTTACAATATGGCGAGCCAAGCTCCTGCTGACACCCCGGTCGCTTCTGACGCGGCGGTAACTCAGACCCTCCCTGATCGCACCCAAAACCCCGCTGATAAGGATGCTCCCCAGGGAGATGTCTCGAAGAATGCCGCAAAGAAGGCCGCGAAGGCTGCAGAGCTCGCCGCTAAGAAGGCTGAGAAGGCTGCCAACAAGGCTGCTGGAAAGCAGGAGCCCAAGAAGCCCGCTGCTGCGAAGGCTCCGAAGAAGAAGATCGATGGTGCTGCTCTGATTGGTATTGATGTCTCCAAGGAGGAAGATTTCCCAGGATGGTACCAGCAGGTTCTTACAAAGGGCGATATGCTCGACTACTATGACGTTTCGGGATGCTTCATTCTCAAGGTGAAATGCCTCTTTTTCATGGGTTTCTAGAGCTTCCGTACTGATATGACTCAGCCCGCTTCGTACTTTATCTGGGAAGAGATCCAGGACTGGTTCAATGCGCGCATCAAGAAGATCGGCGTCAAGAACTGCTCGTTCCCTCTGTTTGTCTCTGAGGATGTTCTGAACAGGGAAAAGGATCACATTGAAGGCTTTGCTGCTGAAGTTGCTTGGGTGACTCATGCGTACGATTCCTCCAGACCCCGGCATATGTGCTATAATCCTGCATGCCCTAGTTACTAATGTCTTCTCTTCTTTTGCAGTGGCTCTAGCCCTCTCGAAAAAAAGATTGCTATTCGTCCGACATCGGAGACGGTTATGTACCCGTACTACTCCAAATGGATCAGAAGTCACCGTGACCTGCCCCTTAAACTGAACCAGTGGAACTCCGTCGTGCGATGGGAGTTCAAGAACCCCCAGCCTTTCCTCAGAACCCGTGAGTTCCTTTGGCAAGAAGGACACACGGCTCACTTGACAAAGGATGGTGCCCATGATGAAGTCATGCACATCCTCGATCTATATGCTCAGATTTACGAAGAGCTCCTGGCTGTCCCTGTGGTCAAGGGTCAGAAGACAGAGAAAGAGAAGTTCGCAGGTGGTCTGTACACCACTACCGTTGAAGGTTACATCCCCGCCACTGGCCGTGGTATTCAGGGTGGTACCTCCCACGGTCTTGGTCAGAACTTCAGTAAGATGTTCAACATCACCGTCGAGGATCCCTCCGCCAAGGGCGATGAGAAGAAGCCTCCTCTCCATGTGTGGCAAAACTCTTGGGGTCTGTCCACCCGTACCCTTGGTGTCATGGTCATGATCCACAGTGACAACCGTGGTCTGGTCCTCCCCCCTCGTGTCGCAGACACCCAAACCGTTATCGTCCCTGTCGGTATCACTGCCAAGACCACCGACGAAGAGCGCGAGAAGCTGTACGCCGAAATCGATGGTCTCGTTAACGTCCTGACCGGCGCTGGTATCCGCGCCATCAGCGACAAGAGAGAGGGTTACTCCCCCGGCTGGAAGTTCAACGACTGGGAGCTCCGCGGTGTGCCCCTGCGCATTGAGTTCGGCCCCGGCGAGTCCGCCGGCCAATTTGTCACTGCTGCCCGTCGTGACATCCCCGGCAAGGAGGGCAAGTCCAGCATCCAGATTTCCGAACTCTCCACCGCGGTCCCCGCCCTGCTGGAGCAGATCCAGAAGGATCTGTACAACCGTGCAGAGGAGACCTTCCGCACTCACCGCAAACTGATCACCAACTGGGACGACTTCACCCCAGCCCTCAACAACAAGAACATCTGTGTCATCCCCCACTGTCTCACCGAGGAGTGTGAGGATCAGATTAAGGACATGAGCGCCCGCAAGGCAGAGGAAGACTCTGGCATCGCTGAAGACGCCAAAGCCCCCAGCATGGGCGCCAAGTCTCTGTGCATCCCCTTCGAACAGCCCGAGGGCATCGTCGCGGGCGAGACCAAGTGTGTCAACCCCAACTGCACCCGGCTCGCTGAGAAATGGTGCATGTTCGGCCGTAAGTTTCCATTTAAACCCTTTAGCTTTCTCCCGTGACATCAAAATATAAACTAACAATTCCCCCACAGGATCCTACTAAGCGCAATAGATCGTCTCGGTCTTTTCTGCACAAATGTTAAGTAGCACCTAGCAAGCGCATTAGATCAGTCACTATGAGTTTGATGACTTATTTCCTTTCAATTCCTTTTTCAAAATTCCAAGTATCCTTTTGTTGTATTTGTCTGGCAAATTGGGACATCATCGAAGTAAGAAAGAAATACTCTAGAACAGAGAAAGAGACGTGCATATTAAACGAGAGTTAAGGAGCAGGTATGGCCAAAAATAAAGATACCTTTGTGATTTACAGGGGGTGGGGGTGGTGAGCTTACATATCAAACAAAATGGTTTTGGGACGCTGAATGAATTATGAGTTGATGTGATGTTGATCTTCTCGGTTGATATGATATGCTCCAAAAGCTTCATCTTAGAATATCTTTATTGTAATTGATTGGATATGTAGACATGGTATGCTAGCAACGCTAATATGCAACATATGCAGGAGACAGAAGGAAATGTTCAGATAGATGCCAAATATGCAATGCAAGAGGACATAGATCCTCATTGGATATATAGATCAACAAAAAAAAAAAGCCCGACAAGGGAATAGATGCGCTTGCGAGTATAAACTGGACAAGAAAATCAAAATCAAGGAAGGTATTTGCAGGATTTGCAGAGCAGAAGGAACGTAAACGAAATGTAGCTCAACATCATGCGATAGAGTATCGTCAAGGAGGCGTTGAAGTAAGGAATGGAAGGGTAGAGTAAGATAGGATAGGATGGGGTATATGAGTGGAATCCGTTAAAGACTGGGATGCTAGACGAACTCTGGCCATATCATGGAAAGATTCAGCAAGATGCTACTGAGCGAGTTGTGAGGCCGCCCCTGGAGGATGAGCGAGAGGGGCTGTTGTTGCCTTCATTTGTGAACCAGTTCCCCCTGAGGCTCACACTCCTGCCTGACCTCTGTGGCCAACTCATGAGTCTGAATGCATTTCGGGGAGAGGTGTTTTCGGCGATATAGGTCACATTGTTCTCATCAATACCATGGATTTGTAACTTGGGAATGCCAACACTGGGTAGTTCGATCACCTCTTCGTCACTGTCTTCTGCGGAGAAGCTGATGCGACTGTTGATAGACGATGTTGATGCCTGTGCACGCAGGTGGAAAACGGAAGGCGCTGGGTTGGCGCTCTCGAGAGACGCAGTAGCCGGTGGCTGGGGATTACTGATGCTCCTAGCCACATCGGGTATTCTCCCTGAAGAAACATTTGCAGAGGACTTCCTCGACTTGGAGAGGAGATCCATGTATGCCACTGACTCTTTAGATGCTTGGTGGTTCTGTTCCAGGGTATTGAAGAAGCCAGGTGACGGAGGGGGTGCATCAGTGTGCCTTCGCTGACGGGTGGTTTCCGATGACTTCCAGAAGACTTTCGAAGGGACACTGGTGGTGGATATGCTCCTGCGCGCGTCAGACCCTCTCCTGTGCTTCTTGAAGGAGCCCCGCCTGATCAATTTGGAGATCTGGCCCTCTCTCAGAGACATAGTCCGGTTCGTACTTGAACCCTCGGTCTTCGCTACGTCAATTTCTGGATAGAATGTTTCCTGGGAGAAAGAAGGCGTGAACGGAGGCCCGGATTCGGGAAGCGGCACACGTTGGAATGCCTCATGTGAATTTATTTCGCGAATGATCGCATCCTGGAGAGTTTCATAAGTGGGATGGGGTGAGATAGCTGGCGACGAAGTATATGCCTGTCTGAACATGTCCATGATTTCCGCAATTTTCTGGTCCGATTGAAGCCTTGGTGATGGGGAGGTTGGTGACCCAGCTGGTAACGGGCTGTTCATAACTTCCGCAATGCTGGGGTTCTGCTTCATTCCCAAACTACTTGGAGTAGGTGGCTGTATGGCACGGTGCGTAATCTTCGTAGATGACTTTCCACGAGCTGCTAATTCTGTGTTAATCGAAAGATCCCGGACATTCTTTTTGGACTTCGATTTGATTGCGTTTGACGGATTGTGACTACCCGACGTCACAGAAGAACTGCGACTCCGGCTTGACCTGGAAGGTGGTAGATCTGGCGTTGGATAGCTTTCGCTGGTCTCAGTATCCCTAGTCACCACGGGGGGCAACGTCGGACTGTCCGGTAATGGAGTGCTGCTCCATGTGTCGCCTTGTTTGTAAGGGGCAGGAACACCGAGGAATCCACCAGATCTCGAATCAGTTTCCCTCTGGGGACTATTGGTTATCTCGGCGGAAATATTCGGCACCGATCTTTGCTGTCGGAGAAGGCCTTCGGTGGCGGGAGACACAATTTGTCGCGGAGTGGTTGACTGGTCAGCGTGAGGAGGGGTGGCAGATCGCGGGGCTTCCTGAGATATTGACCGAGCCAAACTACTTCCAGCCTTTGACCGAGGGCGGCAACGAGCTTCATCTTGGTGACTCTGGCTACTCCGTTGAAAGGAGTTTCCACGAGAGCGACTGGCGGTATTACGAGAAGATGGACGGCCGCCCCTCTTGTTTCTTGCTATGTTTCTGTCCGCCACATCTTCTTGATATAAAGCAGAGAGTATGCGCGAGTACATGGTTGGTTTGCCCGACTGCCCTTGAAGGAATCGAGTCATATTTCGTTCTGCGATATCTTCATTGTATGGGCTAATGGGTGACAGCGTCTGCGCACTCTGGATATGGTATCGGTGAGAAGAAAATAAAGCATCCAGCAAGTCGACGTGCCGAGGATCTCGAGTCGTGGTGCGACTCGAGGCCCGCGACGGAGGGGCTGGTGAACGTGGGGACAACGGCCGTGCCTGCAGTTGATCATGTAAGACTTCAAACTGCTTCTCGATTCGCTGAAACGGATGGTCTGGTTCTATAAATTGCGAGGTCCTCGGGTTTGAAGACAGATCGCTCTCTGGTGTGTTGCTTGCCCGAGTAGCTCCATCCTTAGAACTAATGGACGAGCTTCTCTCCGCTTGGAAAAATCGCTTTAGGGCGACCATTCTGGGACGAGCAAATTACCTGAATACTGCTCAATTCCAAATCGCAGCAATGCTCTCCGGTAATCGAGTCTAGTCAGGCGCTCTCGGCAAGTCAATATGTACTAGGGTATATCTTGGTGGGAGAAACTAGAGCCCAGGACACAGATCAATGTGAGGAAAATTGGACAAGGAAGGGCAAGGGCGTGAGAAAAAGAAGAGAGAAAATAAAAATAAAATGATAGACAAAGGGTCAGATTAGAAAAGAAGGCAAAGCGGACAACCTTTTTACACTGCTCTCATGGTAATGCGGATGTGCAGCGGGGTTTCTCCTCGAACCCTATCCTATACCGTACCCAAGTAATGGATTGAAGAAAGAAGAAAATCATCAGTGAAGAAGAACGACCGATCGAGGGGACCGGGAACAAAAGAGGTTACTCCATATGCTCGAGACTTGACCCGGTTTGCAGATCCAATGCCTGTTCCTGGATCCAGGGGAAGAAAATGGGCCAGTCTCGAGGATCCATTGAGCGACGGACAAAGCGATGGGGCTGAGGTCTGAGTCCGCCGACGGAGAAGTCAAAGACTAGTCGGAAGCAGTCGAGCGTTAAGCCCAACGCCATGTGCAGGGTCCAAACTGATAGTCCGGTCTTTGTTCATTTAGGTGCATTACTCCGTTCACCCTCGGGGACCACCACCCTCATCACAAGGATTATCATGCATGGTCAGCATGTTGACCAAACCCTCAGTGATACTGCACACACTGTGAAAATCTTCGTTTAGAATGTGCAGGGGCCCTTTCGCCCGCGGTTAAGGTGCATACCATCATGCATGACCTAAAAGTAGAGCTTGGACTCCACTTGACAGCGATGCCACTCAAATTGGATCTGCACATTCTGCCACCCAATCAGGAACGGAATGGTTCAGCGTAATAGTGGGACTATGAGACTAGTGACAGAGCTTGGGGAGGACAATGCTTACGCTCTCCCGGAGAAGGACGTGGAACTCACATACACACATAACATTCATACTCCGTACCAAGGACTTACTTCGGTCATTCAACTGTGGTTCTTGTACCGGTACAAAGAAAGTTTACCAGGCCTGAAAGTGAAAGAGGGTTGGATATGGGGCTCGGGTAGGCAAATTGCGGACCAGTCAAATCCCGAGATGCTGGATTCGATATTCTCCGCTAGTCTTGGGTCAGTTAGTCCGTTCCTCAACCGAGGTCACGTTAGCGTATCATCAGCCGGAGATCGTCAAAGGTGATTTAAATAGGGCCAGCTAGTACTACTGTGTAGTAAAAGGGGGTCAGTCTCGTTCACACAGGAGCCTAACTTCCATGATTAATTTCCTAGGACCAAACCATTGGGAAAATCTAGTACGGAGTACGTACATAATTACGGGAGTACGTATCATGGCGGCTCCGGCTACGTACTGTACTCAAGTTACGACGGGTGGACCGCACTGCTTCCTATTCCGGTTTTCTTTCGAGATCAACTTCCGAGCGACGGTTGTTGATCAAGGAAAGACAGTAAGATGATTAACAGCAATATCCGCTGATAGTCCACCCTTCACCCTAGCCTGCAGATTACTTTTCTACTTTCTTTTTCCTACTGCGGCCTCGTGTCGAAAGCCGCATTGGGTTTAGTCCCTACTCCCGGCGGGCCCTGGGTGTGACAGCTCATGCATGGTTTTTCTCAGCTTGCGTTAGGGTTGTGAATGTGCGAGATTGCATATCGCACGGAAACACTCCGTGAACACCAGTTTGGGGGCAGGTCTATCGGGGATCTCAGGGAGATGGAACCATAGAATCCCGGAATAAGACCGACCCAAGGCGGGATCTTGAGGAGCAAGCCCGATGAGTCTAGGAAACGAGATTGCGAACGATCTAGATTGAGATGGGGCAATACCGAAAAAATAGGAACAATGAAGTTGAACTAAGACAGTTCTTCGGTGCCTGCGGAAGAACTTCCGATTGCTTTACATGGAAGAGCCATCGCCAATAATAGACCTTGTAATATACGGAGTATGAGAGTCAAGATCCACAAAACACCAAAAAAAAAAAAAAAAAAAAAAACCTGGTTGAGTATGGAGTACGGAGTACGTGCCTGGAAAGGCATTACGCATGTGTGTACGGAGTGTTACGGAGGTACTTCCCCTGAGTCTGTCCATACTTTGTACGGAGGTCTCCATTCCTCGGGAACCACATTAACCGTTGAAGGGGCACTAAAGGTAAAATTTGACTCCTCCCGTGGGACGGAGCAAGACAGATGGTTGCCTGACAGCCATCATATTACGGAGTATGTGGATGGGACAGGGCTTGAGCCCTAGCAACGCTCTGGATGTACAGTATGTCTCTGATGTATGTACTGTAGGAAATGTACTTCGTACCTGTTGCTAACATTGCGGTAGAAAGGCATCAACAAGCCTATCATAGAATACTCCGTAAAGATATGTTATTGGGCATCGTTCTGGCAACTTTGGCCCAAAAAAAAATACTTTTTATGAACCGCCCCTTGGCACCCGTACTAACAGGATTCGGTATACTCGTCAACGATCCTAATCAGCAAACGGACTTTGTCGCCAAAGGACCGAATGCACTAGAGCCATTTCCGGTAAATAGCACGGCACCTTCTGTTGATCCCTGCGGGTCCAGAACGCAACCCGTTCATCGAAGGATTATGATCTGTGAAGCGTGACTTCCTACCGAACGGGACGTTTGCTATCATAATCCTGATCAAGATATGAATAGTACCATTGTCCATGACTCGCCACAATCAAGCTATCTCGATTAGCGTCTTTCGATCATCCCCCATGCGGCTAGTTCCCATGTGATTGGAACCTTGGCTGGCAGATATCACACTTGACAGCCAACGAATGACGCTTTCGATGTGCTCAGCTCTGAATCACCTCTGAGACACTACTGCTGTCGTGCATCATCGTTTCGGCAAAGGCTGGCTGAACCGTGCATATGACATATTAACGGTCATTAGTCTCAGCCATGGAACGCAAGGATGACTTGGGTTAATCGAAAGCCGATCTCTGAGCTATCAAAGACATCAGTCTACTTTATCAACAGGCCTACGTTGCTTGCATACGCATACACCACGCGGTTCACCAAAGTCTTCAATTCTCTGCTTCAGCTATCTAAGCCCCATCGAGACCATTCAGAAACACTGCCCGCTTTCACAGCCTCACTCCCCATAATTTCGTCTCGCTTGATCCAAAAAGCAGCATGTTCACCAACTACCCGTCATATCTCCAAGCTTGACACCTCATAGCTCCTTCGACCATGCTCGCCCCGATTATCAACATGGGAAGACCCTTGAGCTTGACCTAACTTGCCTCCGCAGCAGGGTTGCTCTCGTTGTTCTCAGCGACGCCATCCTCTTCAGGTCCACTTTGGCTCTTGTTGCGCTTCACACAGCGTTTCTTCGCAGGTGAGGCTGTCTTCGCGGGAGAAGCGGTAGGCGTAGACGCGGCAGACGGTTCACCCGCGTTGGGATTGCCAGAGCCTTCGGCCATTTCTTTCTCGATTCTGGCTTTCAAGCGAGCCCAACGCATACGCGCGGCTGGGACGTTGATGTTCGAAGCAGCAGCGACGGCATTGAAATCGATCTGCGAAGTAGTTGTATGGTAAGCTTACTTTTTTCTTGGTCTTGTGGAGAATCACATGTCGCGAGATGATTGTATAGACATGTGAAGAAAGTGCCGGGCTTCCTGGATGGATGCTATCCCTCCTTTCAGAGCTTACATTATTGGTTCCTGGTGAGTTGACCAGACAAAGATACAGGAACACAAGGTGCTCATCAGGCTTCGCTTTCGGACGCGGGTTTGCAGACTTCATGATGGGCTTGCGGTGTAGTCAAAGTCGATTGGCTTGTGTGGGTTAAGGTGACTGAGCTTGCGTATGAACCGAAAGGATAGAAGGAATGAGAACAATGTAGAGTGTGGGAGCGGCACACCGCAAAGCCGCGTTGTTCTGATGAATTGGGTGAATGCAAGCTCTCACATATGAGCAAGGCAGGCTTTCCCACTGATCAATTCACTCACCTGGTAACTAAACTACCAGGTCAAAAGTATTGCAACACCAGGTCGCCGAGGCACTATCTTGAAATCCCAATATATTATCAAAACTAAAAGCTTTTTAAGTGCACAATAATTTCTATGGATTCCTAAGCGTAGTAGTATACCATTCGCGCGTTTTATATACAGCTCAACTTCATTGTATCTATACGACTTAAATCACCTACTTAAAACACTTAATACCTATTTCTTATACCCTTTCTAGAAGAGAGATTAGGATAGAGCGTCTTTAGCTTTTATTTTGAACGTAGGTATCGGAGGTATTTTTTAACAGTGTGTGAATTAGGTGAATAGGGCAGCTGATCTAGAATTTAAATAGTACATCTTCCAAACCACGTTTGGGCCCGTTTAGATATATGAATTTGAGCGTTATCTCATTGGAACCAGACTGGTAAGAGCCCTTTTTCTAGATAGGCAATATGGGAATTTGTTGGATGAACCCTATTCCTGGCTAACTCATCCCGTTCTAGAGTGATTACATTGTCCTATATAGCAGCGTCTAGAAGCGAACCCTCTTAATACTTTTCCACCTTTTATTATAATATCTGCACAAAATTCGCGGTAAGATTAATCCAGAGATACTATAAGAAGTACTAGCAATCGGTACTGACTGGCTTATTCTAGGTGTTCCGTAAAATACAGTCTATCTGAAAAATATAGTGTTTAGCTGCCTGACTGAGATTTTTAAACCCACTAGAGTGAGAGTCCGAGTATAGACTACGTTATTTTTGAAAGCATTGTTATATTGAGTAGATAGAACACGTAACACCAAATTATTAGGTAAGTTTAGTGATATATTACTGGGAAGGTGTGGTAATTCTCTGGCCCACTACTGGCACTGTCAATATGGTGACCCAATCATGGCTTTGGCATTTCGAACAGAAATAAAAGACACCCAGAACCCATTTACATTCAATGCTAAGAAGATAATTGACAGAGGATATATTAGAGCATGCAATGACATTTCATCTTGATCTTCAACCAGTAGCTTATTGTGTAGAACCTCCCCCAGGAGCGAGACCAGCAAAGCGCTCTGCAGACTCTCTGACAGCCTCAGCCAGAACGGAATGCGCTCCTCGAGCCGCATCCACAGCACCATCTAACAGTGCTTCATGTCCAGAGCGCTTATCATCGGGCCCTAACAGCGCCTTTGAGCTGTCTCCCTTCAGCCAAATCTCTGTAATTTCATCCCTGGAAGGCATATAAGCGACCACACATGCGGACAATATGGCCCTGTGTTCCGCTGGATCTGTGTCTAACATCAACTTCGGCTTGGCTTCGCCTTCTTCTGATTCATCAGCGACAATAGCAGCCACACCACCAGCAATTAGATCAAGGCAATCAATACGGGCGTCAGAGATGGCAGCAGACGCAGCGGTAATACACCCAGCAAGAACATTCATCATCCCCCAGGGAGCATCGTGAGAGTCAGGCGCATCGCCCCACCAACGGTCATCTTCTGCTTCTAAGATGGTGATGGTGATATCGAGTCCACTCTTCGGCCACCGCTCGGCAACAATCACCCCTCTTAGGGCCGTCTCTAAGTGTACACCAAGATCGCGTTCGGTGGCATCGCGGATATGTCCTTTCCTCTTGCGGGCGGCGAACGGGGCATATTTAACATGAGTTGTAAGAACTAGGTTAGGGGAGAATGTAGCAGAGCGAGGAAGCGGTTTCGGACCATGGACTGTGCAGGCGAGTTTCAATGCTGAGGAGGGGGGAATGAGAGACTTTGGTGACGAGCGTGCGGCGGCAAGAGAAGCCGAAGGTTCATATTCAAGATAGGCGGATCCAGAAGCAGAAGGAATGAGGCCGGTTTTCAAGACTAGGTTTGGATTCACGTAAGCCCAAGCACTACATAAGCCGTCGCCAGGGGGAGGTGATATTGCTTACAGATTTTCCGCAATTCATTGGGTTGCCTCTGACGTTGTGGTCGGCCAGTCGCAATGTCGGCGGCGGAGTTTAGAGACGAGGCAAAGACTGCAGGCCTCGTGCCGCTGGGCGGCCCATTGATTCTTCTTCGGTCAGTCATTACACATTACTTGGCATCCACTGAAATAATCGATGAGGGATGCGACGAGCAATTACGCCGTTGAGACTGAAGACTTGAAGTCAAGCTTGGGAAGCTGGTTTCGAGTCCCAGAAACGGAAATCTACAATTTTGGATGTTTGTTCTGTTTGCTTGCGTTGCACCAAGTGGAGTCGACGCCAATTTTTCCTTCCTTTTTCTACCCTTCTGCCTCTCTCTTCTTCTCTCTTCCTTTCTTACTTTTCCCACACAAACAACCGACAGGTTACCTGCTTAATGATGCGGTGGTCTTGTCAAAATTTGTGATCATGATTCAACCATAGTATATCGGTACTAACCTTGTTATTTGTGAGTCTCCAACCCAGTCTATTACAACATCCCACCACCACATTTTGTATGAGGAAAACTATCCAAAATTTCTGTTCGGCGACAAACGAATGGGCCATTGAACAACATGCACTACCATCTGACAATACTACCTCACAATTATCATGTTATGATCAATATGCTTGGTTATATGCTCATTGAATGTTTAGACAGGACCATGCAACAAAAGTTTTCTGCACAGGGCTTAAAACTAACAAGGTATGTTTTTTTTTTTCGATTTTTTCCCCCCCTCTTTCAAAATGCATTTTCATGATGTAAAAAAGTTTTTATTCAGTTCTGCTTCTGCAAATACATTGAAGAAAACTCAACCATACCAAACCTTCTGATACCATTCGAAGCTTCACACATTGTCATCTACTTATCGATGCCATGGAACATTTCGCTGACAGCTTCAAGAATCATAACAGGAATCACGCCTCATCTCTACAAAACAAAACAACCAGTAGGTATGCAAAACGTCACCACACATAAAAACACCTACCACCCAACCTTTATGATGACAACTAGTCAATCCATTCAATGATCTCCAATGGAGAATCTCCCCTCGAGCTTGCGTCAGTTATCACGCAGTGTCTAATACAATGATCCATTCATCCATCTCCCTTATACTGGACCATTTGTCTGCCGTCGAAAGATGGCGTGACGAGTGGGAGGAAGGTTGTGGAGTTTCGGATTGTGGGCTCACATCGTTGTATGTCTGTGCTGTCTCTGTTGGCTTTGTATGCTATGCTTGACTTGTGTCAATTTCTATGCCTCGACTTGCTGTTCGTTTTGACAGCTTGGAGAGGGGTAGCGATTGGCAGGGGATGGGATGAATTAACCGGCTTGGCTGACCAATTCGTTACAACTGCCTTGTATATCGGGTAGTTCCTTATGATTACACACTGCGCTTCTTGATGGCACATTGTGCTGACAGATGGACAGATTGTAGACTTGTGCTCGACTACTATATAGACGCGAATGTGTTGGCCAACTTTGGCAAAATAATCGAAATTAACTCGTTTGAAATTCCTTAGCCCATTACCTCTATTGCTGTAGACCATGTAGTCGTAAAAGAAAAATTGTCTTGCATTTTCATAATATGTACGGGACTAAGTTTATGCATAGATAGGTAAACAACTACATCTTGGATGCAGAAAAAGTAAGCAAGTCTTTCCACTCGCTCCCTTGACCACCGCTGCTTCTCATCCCTTTCTCGCTCTCCTGATGATTTTACGTTACTGCGATAAATCTCAGCAGAATCGTCCTTCCGAATAATAAGCGACACAACCATGTTTAGAGGTTTGTCGTGGCTCATATCAAGTATATCATATCGTTGATTAGAGGAACACCAAGTAACTGTTACACCTTACTCTTTCCTATCGGTCGGGGTGGACGCGCCGTCCCTTGACATGCTGTAAGGAGCCTGTAGAGGGCGCGAGGTTAGTGATTAAGCGGTGGTCTTGGGATATATATATGTGCATACCAAGACCTTCTTTGCATTGCAAACCCTCCAGGCGAGGTTCCGGACAGTCCCATCGGCCTGAACAACTCCAGGAGCGAATTCAATACCAAACCTGCGGCCAAAAGTTAGTATGAGTGCGACGAAAATCGCTATACAGGAGAAGTATTACTCACATTTGGTGTACGGCAAACACAACCCGCTTAGCGAATTTACCATCGCGGTCCACCAAACTTCCGAACGACTCGTCTACGGCCTCCGGGGCGATCTCCGGATCACGATCGAAGCAGTTGCGGATGACGGGCAACAGGCTCCTCTCCACAGATGTTTGTGTAAGTTCATGGTCATCCTCCTCTTCATATCGACCAATGCGAATCTCAAATGGTCTTGAGATTGCCATGACATTGTGCTTGGCATTGTGATGATAGCGGAATTCGAAGACGCCCTGTGTCCAGAAGAGTTTGTCACCTGAGAATATAACCTCACCGGTCGCAAGATCGCGCTTGTCCCCATCCTGCTGTTGTGCAGCCTTGATAACAACATCGCTTTTAACAATTCCCTTTTCACATGTTAAGTTATCGTAGGCGCCTTCATTGACGGCAATCCACCTTCCTTGAGAGGAAACCCGGGTAACTTCACGAGATGTATTATCGATGACCTTGTACAAGCCAATCCAATCCTTCTTGCTATGATGTAAAGGTGCAGTCCACTTAACCTGAATCGGCGCACCATATTCGAACACGAGGTTTTTCAGGTCACCACGTCTGTCAAGAGGCATGCGAGCGTTAGCGCCCTCTCTACCAGTGCTTTGATCATATTCGGCCAAAGAGGATGAATCAGTGCCTTCAACTTCTAGGGAATAGTCCCGCGAATCGTATCCGGCCAGATCTTCGTCAATGCGTGAGATGGTGACACGGGCGGGGTAATTCTGGAAGAGTGCAGTGGTATCCTTCACGAATGTATTGACACCATTAGCAAGTTTCGGTCGTGCCGTCTCGATAATCTCTTCGATAAACTCGAATGACTCGTCGAAGATCTTATCCACGCTGCCGTGGAGCTGTCTAAGAGTGGGTGGCAGTGACTTTTTCAAGCTCTTAACAAGCCCCGCATCCTGTCGCAGACTCTGACCGTACAGTTTCTGCATATGCGGACGCTCGATAAATTGAATGAAAGCTAGGCTGAGAATGTGGCTGAGAAGCGCCAGGAATGTTATGGCTCCGCTGCTGGTGATAAGAACCGCACCCCAGACGCCGGCCAGACCCAGTACACGCTCAGGGTTGTTTAAGAAACGATAGATACCATTATACGTCAACTTTGACGAGCCATCAAAGAAGAAGTCACCGTAGAACCAGCCGAATTCACCAAGAGACTCATAGATGCTGACCGAAGTCCAAATTTGTAAACTAATGAGGCCTGCGCCCAAGACATGGCGGAGCAAGACCAGGCCGTACCCCCAGTCAGCAGGAAAGGTGTACATCTTCCATACTGCAGCAATGAAACTGGCATAGCACATGATCATACTCAAATGATATGTGCCTTTCCACTGGCTCCATGCCTCCTGGGGAGTTTCACCATACTTAACGAAGTGCCGGGTCCACGCCTTATGATTCGACTGGCGATGAAGCATGTACCCAACACCGATCGAGAACCAAAGTCTCCATACAGCAGCGTTTGCTACGAAAAGAAATTGGTACCAAGGTGTAGAGGGTGTCAAAACTGTGAGTGCGAATACAAGGAACTGGATAAGGACAGATGAGGTATCCGTTATCCGATACAGATCCAGATTGTGGAGCCCTAATAGATCGTGGACTGACTGCGGTGGGCTGCTTGAAAAGGTTGGCGCGTGGGGAATTTGTTCATCAACCGGCGTTGGCGCAATGGGAGAATCGGCAATGCGGCTCGAGACAGATCCAGTTTCCTGCTCTGCTGCACGCTTGCGGGACGGTGGAGGATTGTACGTCTTGTCAATATGTGGGTTTTCGACCAGCACTAGGAAAGCGAATTGAGCCGCATGGGCGATTATAGAAATAAAAAGCACTTTGTAGCTCGCGGCCATCAGGGATATACCGTAATAGCCAGCGTAGCCAACCGAATACATTGGATGGGGTGCCATCTCGAATACGCCGTCGAACGTGAGTTCCTGGTCAATGAGATAGAAGAAATCGCCCCAGTACCAGGCGAAATCCTTTACCACCCGATGAGCGTCGAGCTTGACCCAAAGGTTGAACAGCACCAACACGATGCCGGCGGACCATCGCAGGACAGTCATCAGCACGCTCTCGTTGACAGGGTGGTGACTACAAGCTATCGCAAAGAGACAATACGACACGAAGTCGCACATTAGTATCAGGTCCACAAGGCGTCTAAAAACGAGCCATGTGTTATACTCAATTGGGGCTTTATCGAATGAATAGTCCTCGGGGATCTTAGTTTCCAGCTCCCGCTTGAAAAAGTTGTACAGGTTAGGATGGGGGTTCTTGCCCGTAGCTGGGTTCACAAAGACCTTGGTTTTCTCAGCCCAGCGGACTAGTGTTTTGTGGTGCGATTGATTGTGGAGAAGCCATCCAATTCCGGCGTTGTAGGCCGCACGCCAGAAAAGGTAGATAATGGCAAAAACAGGCACCTTCGCACCGGTAGGAAGCTGCCATAAAAGAAGTATATGAGCACCAAGGATTGCAAGAACAATCACGTCAGAAAGATTCTTTGGTTCCGAGGGCGACAAGAGTTGAGAGACCATGTCATGAGTTTGCGGCACCGTGAATACTGTTGAGGGGCATGAATTAGCTTATTTACCCGCAACGACAGGCACCGATACACAACAATTGCACAATTCCTCCAGTTTGTGTAACCAATGCATCGGATAGGGGATTGATTTTCGAGGAAGATCACCACTTACTAGTACCATCAGGTGTCCGACCAAATGTTTTGCAGTCCTTACCAGCCTTGTCCTTGAGCTCTACGTCACCGGTGGCCGTGAGGGCCTCGGGACTAAGAGTCGAAGTGGACTGAGAGGCCACATGCCTCTCCCGAAGGCCTTCATCATCGATTCGGGTGCTTGTTGAAAGTCCACGATCCATGATTCAGACTCAGCAGAGCAAAATGTTGAAAAAGCGGCGAGGGTTCAAGGGTTGGGGCAGAAGCATGTGAGAGGGGAACAGCGCGGGAGTTATTTATGTCTAATGATTGGTCTGCGTCATGTGAAGCGCAGGATCCACCGCGTTTCCTATTTGCTTAGGTAAGGTAAAGGTCAATTATTGCTGTGGTTAGAACAGAGCAAAAGGTGAAGAAGCATTGGGTTGGATTGGGAAAAATTGGAGAGAAGAAATGTTTTTCTCGTGAGGGGATTTGGCAAATCGTTCTAATTTATGCCCTTAGCGAAACGTTGAGACAAGAGTGCGCAAGACAGCACCCTTGAGCAGCGCCTCGATCCTTTGCACAGTGGCAGAAGTGGAACTCGCGGACTGGGGAAAAGCAACAGCAGTGGTTAGTGGCCTGGTAAGGCCAATCATGACGGCGGTGCGGGTTCTAGCTGGCAAGGGCAGAATGGCCCGGAATGGAGGAGAAGGACCGTCACTACCCTACTAGGGATGGTTCCATGTCAACATTTCAGAACTGGTCTTCAGAGGAGTTTTGGCGCTAGTAGCAGTAGTAATTTAGGGGTCTTACTCCCGTCGGACATACAGAATACTAGTACGTATATCGTTAGGGTACAGGTTACGATTGATTGGGACCTGTTCAACCAAATATACTCCGTACCTATGACAGTTAAAAAGGAAAAGTGTTAAGTAAAAAAAAAATCTTGATTAGATATGTAGTAATTTATATATTAATAATAATAATTTATAAAAACTCTGCTTTTTTTTTATATATTCTTTTTCTTATTTTTTGTAGGCCAGGTCCCAAATTCTGCCACCGCCCTCGTGACCCTCAACTGTATTGCCGGACCCCCCGGTTAGGTTTTCTTGAATAAAAAGACATCCGTATAACAAGTTGATGGACGACTAATAAATTATTCTTTCATATCTCTCACTAACTAAAATCAATTTTGGAGGTTCTTTTTATGTCGTAGGAAATTGCTTGACCTAAGCAGTCATACAAAGGAAATATTTTTATATACACTCATACAGAAATGGCCAAAATCATTACTTATCCCCCTTCAACTCACAACCAATCCAGGAACTCTGGAGTGAAGTAACTGAGAATAGCATCCGCCCCGGAGCGAACAATAATTTCAGTCGACTCAAACGCCATGTCCTTTAGGTTAAACACTCCAGCGCGGGCAGCGGCATGTATCATGGCAAACTCACCGGACACCTGCATGGCGACGACCGGCACGGTGGAGACATTCTTGGCATCGCTCAGGATATCGGGATAAGCAGGCTTGACCATGATCATGTCGGCACCCTCCTGCATATCGCGCAGCATCGCCTTGCGGGCTAGGGTCCGTGCCGGCGGTGGCAGTAGATAGCGCTTGCGGTCCCCAAAGGCCGGCGCGGAGGAGGCAGCCTCGCGGAACGGCCCGTAAAGACAGCTGGCGTACTTGGCGGAGTAGGACATGATGGCGACCTTGCTCTCGAGTCGGTGCTGGAGGAGCTTGAGCTTGATGGCGCGGATACGGCCGTCGCTCATGTCGGAAGGTGCGACGCAGTGGACACCCGCCTGGGCGAACGATAGAGCGATGTCTGACACACGTGCCACTGACGCCTCGTTGTCCACTGTGCCATCCGGGAACACCACCGCGCAGTGTCCGTGGTGTGTATACTCGCAGAGACTCACGTCGGCAACCAAGTATAGATCCGGAAAGGCCTCTCGGATTAGCGGGATGGCCGGCATGATGGGACCATCCGGACTGTCGGCCATGGAGCCACTAGCATCTTTTTTGTCGTTGCTCGGCGGCGAGCCGAATAGTATAATCGAGTGAAGGCCCCTGGCGACTAGAGGGGCGAGGAATGGTATCAGCTTGTTGATACCTCGTCGGTACTGGTTGGGGAGACTGGTGATGGGTTCTTCCAGGTCGGGGTCGGCACTGAGGAAAACGGGGTAGATAAACATCGACTGTTGGATTCGGTCAGTGCCTAAATAGGGCTGGGATGGCCTAAGAATTGGTATTCACCTTGTGTAATTGCCGTTCAGCCTGCCACATGGCCGACACTGTGTGGTTGTACCCGCTCTTGAGCTGGCTGGCAATGCTGGCAGTGCCATCGCGGGGCCATGGAGTAAGGTCAGTCTCAGTCATGGTGGATGCGTAGGAATACTGTATGTATTGGCTCTTGTGATGGTCCTCACTCACTACGGGAAATACAGGGATCTACTTATACTAAGTTGATGGGTGCGATACTAACCAACACCGTATAGGGCTGTGTGCTAGCATACATAATTGAAAAGCACAAATAATGCTAAATTAGTAGTAGACCTTACTTAGGTTACAGCAGCCGAGAAGCCAAATCCATCACTCTTGTCTTCAATGCTACAGATTAACCATCGTTCAGCTAGCATGGGTCGATGTTCGGACAGTCCGAGCTGCGTTCAGAGCGGATGTCCCGCCCTGACCCCGAGCCTCTCACCACGCTAGTTTGTATTTTCCGTTGCAATGGGCCTCTCGTCGACAGCTTTGCTCGTTTCCCACTTGATATACGGCGTGCGCAATCTGTTCCTAGCGATGGGCTGGTTTCTCACTGCAATACCTGCGTTCTACATACGCGCGGAATAATTCCGACCAAGCCTTTTTCTACTATGGCATATGATCCAGAAACCACCGAGGTGGTCATCATTGGTGCAGGCTTATCCGGCCTACAAGCCGCGCGCTTGCTACACGAAGCAGGGGTTACAACAGTTGTTCTGGAAGCCCGGTCGCGAATCGGCGGAAAGACTTGGAGTATCCTGGCCGGACCCAATGGAAACAGTGTAGCGGATTTGGGCGCGGAGTGGCTCAACGACACAACCCAACCACACGTGTACCAGCTCGCCCGGAGCCTGGGCCTCGAGTTCACGGAGGTCCAGGTGAAAGGGGATGCAGTCCTGCATCTGAAACGTAGTGAAGTTGACGAGACAGTGATCAGACACCCGTATGGAGAGCAACCATTGGTGAGTTTGTGAATTGCCCTCGGGTGACACACCGGAAAGTGCTTATTGATGAATGGTGTTAGCTACCAGATGGCGAGGATGTGGTTATTCAGCACATGAAAGACATATTCGAGGAGGAGTACAAAAACATTGACCTCACGAGGCCTCATCAGTGCGACCACGATGATATCACCCTCGAAGACTTTGTCCGCAGTCGCGGAGGTGGGCCAGCAACGTTGGCAACAGTCGCCGTGTGGACACGAGTGATGCTGGGCTGCGAGCCGGGTGACTTGAGTGCTGCTTCTTTCTTCGTCTACTGCCAGAGTCAGGGCGGACTGATGAAGATGAGGTCGGGTAAAGTGCAGGGTAGATACCTCACTGTCACGACAGGCACGCAGTCAATTGCTGAGGGACTAGCAGCATCTATGCCCCAGGGAACTATCAGACTGGGCACAGCAGTCGAGTCGATCATACAAAAGTCAGACGGTGTGGATGTTTACAGCACGACTGGACTAGTTTTCCGAGCCCGCAAGGTCATCGTTGCTTTCTCCACCCCTTTGTATAAGAAGATCAACTTCGATCCTCCCTTGCCTCCCAGAAAGGCGTTTCTGGTGCAAAACACAGCGCTGGGATATTATACCAAGGTCATGGCATCCTACAGCAGGCCGTGGTGGAGAGAGAACGGCCTCAGCGGAGCCTCTCAGTCCTTTCTGGGGCCCGCGGCGGCGACTCGAGATACCAGCGATGATTCCCGGTCTCATTTTCGCCTGACAAGCTTCATCGCTGGCCAACCTGGGCGAGAATGGTCTCGATTACCTGCAGCTGACAGGAAGGCAGCAGCATTGAAGCAACTGGCCCTTATATTCTCGAGCGACGATGCCCACTACCCAGTGGAGTATATTGAGCAACAATGGTCTTCCGAAGAGTGGAGCTTAGGCTGCCCATGCCCCTATACGCCCCCGGCGGTGCTGACCAAAGAAGGCGATTGCCTAACAGAGCCTTACGGACATGTGCATTTTGTCGGCACCGAGACTGCGGTCGAGTGGAAGGGCTACATGGAGGGGGCATTGACCGCGGGGATTAGGGGAGCTCGAGAGATTGCAAAGCTCATCGGAGGCGTCAAAATATAGCTTGTATGATATTAGAAATCTAATGAAAGGTCTGTGGAAAGGGTCTATTAGGATGACTTTTCCATATTCGTTACCACGAATGAGGATATTTTTCTCTTGTTCATTTCCCCGGTTTGGATCATTTATACACGGCTCGTAAACCCGTTTGACCGTGACAAAGATTGCGAACTTAAAACCAGTTTACCTCTCAGCGGGTCCAAGATACTGTGCAAGACTTTATTTTTCCATCTAAGTATGAATTTTAAAGAGCTTGGCCTACTGCGCTAGGACTGCCCCCAGCAACCTCCATGTGTTCCATATCGAAAGAAGTTTCGGAATGATTCAAACCAAAGGAATCTCCCTGCACATCAGGGGTGAGGACCTCTAAACCAAGCTGGGCATCTGTCCACAGTGGTTCGTTACCCGTGTGATCTTGACCAACTCCAAGGAACCCTCCCTGGGCAGCCCAACCCTCAGTCCTCCGGATACCAAGTTCGGACCAGACCGCATCTAGAGCCGTGACCAGATGCTGGCGGTATTCGTTCACATGGCCTGGGGTAGGGGTGATGCGGAGTCTTTCCTCGCCGACGAGAACAGTGGGATAGTTGATGGCCTGGACGTAAATTCCCCAATCATTCAGCAGGATGTCGGAAGCACGCTTGGCCAGCTCGGCATTGCCAACCAGAACCGGAATGATATGGGATGGGTTTGGAATGATGGGGATCCCGATGGCCTGCAATGCAGCCTTTGTAGCACGGGTATGCAGCTGCTGAAGCTGGCGGTCCCCGTTGTGGGACATCTGATACTCGACGGAGACCTGGGCGCCGGCCATCGTGGCAGGCGGAAGAGAGGTCGTGAAGATAAAACCGGGTGCCAGCGAACGAATGGTGTCGACCATCTTCGCGGAGCCGGCTATATAGCCACCCACACAGCCATAGGCCTTGCCGAGCGTGCCGGTAATAATGTCGACCCGGTCCATTATAGTTTTCTCAGTCGTGATGCCTTTCGCGTGGGATTCATAGTCTAGGTGTTCGGCTACACCTGCACCATGAGGTCCATATAAGCCGACGGCGTGGACTTCGTCGAGAAAGGTCATAGCGCCGTACTTGTCTGCTAGGTCGCAGATCTGTTCAATTGGACCCACGGAGCCACACATACTATAGACACTTTCAAAGGCAATGATCTTAGGGACATGCAGAGGCAGAGAGGCGAGCTTTGCCTCAAGGTCTACCAGATCGTTATGGCGGAAGATCATCTTTCGAGCGCCCGAATGCCGAATACCCTGGATCATCGAAGCATGGTTGCTGCTGTCGGAGAGAATCACGCAGCCTGGTAATTTGCTCCCAAGCGTGGCGAGCGTAGCATCGTTGGCCACATAACAGGAGGAAAAGACTAGAGCGGCTTCTTTCCGGTGAAGACGAGCAAGAGTTTCCTCAAGTTTTACAGCATGCTGGTTGTGGCCGGAGATATTGCGGGTGCCTCCTGCGCCGGCACCATACGTGTCGAGAGTCTCGTGCATCTTCTGGAGGACATGAGGATTCTTGCTCATGCCAAGGTAGTCGTTGGAGCACCAAACAGTTACTCTTTTGTCTTCAGGGGAAGCCATATGTGCGCACGGAAAGTCTTTGGCCAGTCGGTTGATGTTGTTGAAGTATCGATAGGAATTGTCCTTGTGTTTTGCCTCCAGCTCTCGCTGGTAAAAGGCTTCATAATCGAAGGGGGTCCCGCTGCTGAAACCCGAGTGAGAATGTGCCAGACGAGTGTGACCCATATGGGAGTGATATGCTCGGGTAGTCCCTAAAGTGCTAGAGAGTTGTCGACCAGCCCTTACACTCTGCACGGCCAATGCTTTGTCCATGATGGGACAGCGACTGGCAATGGCCTGGAGCTTCGACAGGGAGCCATGATGCACCTGTGTGCTGGTCGACAGCGACCTCAGGGTAGCAGGCGATGTCTTGCGTAAGAATGGGCACATCCTGAGCGATACCCGTGAGACAGCCTCCATGAGGGGGATAGTTCCTGTAAGTCAGGGAGTAGTATTGGGTGATGAGAACTAGATAGGTGTTATGAATGACTGAGAGAAACGTTGCTGGTCATATGTATTCCATAACTATAAGCAGCTATTTGATCCCATTTCTCTCGTTCACTCCAGCGCCAGCCCGTATGGAATATAGACCGGTATCCTGAATGAGCCCGCTCATCTAGGCCCTAACGCCGTTAGCGCAATTAGAATTGTAGGTATCCATTTGTCTTTCTCTCTCTCTCTCTCTCTCTTTTTCTTTTTTGATTTAAAAATTTTTTTTTCTTAATTTATTTTCAATTTTTTTTTTCTCGAACGAACAAATAGGGCTTGATTAATCAGTGATTACCAGACGGGCTCAAGCTTGTACGGTTAAACCGTATACTAAAATTTCATATCTAACCAATTCCGGGATAGGGTCATCCACTATCCTTCACTTCTTTAATCTCCTATGCGGATAAAATTGCATATTGTTCGGCTTTGGAGCTGAGACGGACACCGAGGGTAGTCGGAGTCACCGACGGGCTATTTCAACTAATGCTACAACCGGTGACTCCGCGACTATCCTGCGATCTTTCCACCCAGCCTCCTTAGTAGGGAGGAATTAAGGAAAACCTTAGTCCTGGAACCAATACTATCGGGTCGTATAATATCGCTAAACTATACCAGAGAGGAAATCATTCGCAGGATGACTGCCAGAAATGACACCTTGAAACCCTTCTGGGGCAAGGGGGCAGTGTCACTAGATATCAAGTGAAGAAGAACAAAAAGCACAAGTCACCCTTCTCCGGGTGTTGTTGGACAACAAGTCGATCATTTACTATGATTTCCCCAGTCCGTCATCGTCCGCTGGCACGATATGTTGGTCGTCATTTGTTCGCGCATACACACTGCTACTGTACTGCTGCAGCAGCTAGCTCGGTACCTGCAGGAGAGACTCATATCGACTTGAGTACTGTCGGTGCGTTGCCACCGCGCAGCACCGCTCCAAGATACCAAGCTACAGCCTTTCCTTACGAGGAATTGTATCAACATGTCCTTGACAAGAAGAAGAAAGATCAATCATACCGTTATTTCCGCAGTATAACCCGTCTACAGGACCAATTTCCTCTGGCGCGATGCAACCGTACCGGGAAGAAGGTCGATGTTTGGTGCTCCAATGACTATGTATGTACAATGCGCATTAATGGGCACATTTTTCTACACCAAGTAAAAGCAGACGATGCTAACATTGATAGCTGGCGATGGGCAGTCACCCGGCCGTGATAACCGCTATGGAAGACGCTTTACACACCTATGGCGCTAATTCGGGCGGATCACGAAACATCGCTGGACATAGTTCCCTAGTGGAGACATTGGAGGCCAGTATCGCAGAACTACACAAAAAGCCTGCGGCCCTGTACTTCAGCTCAGGATTTGCCGCAAACGAGGCTGCTCTCATAACGTTGGGATCCCAATTGCCCGACTGCGTCATCTTCTCCGATGAGCTGAACCACGCTTCGATGATCGATGGCATCCGCCATTCCAAGGCCAAGCGTCATGTCTGGAAGCACAATGACTTGGCCAGTTTGGAAGCCTTGCTGGCATTGTATCCCATTGAGGTTCCCAAGATCATCGCATTCGAATCCGTCTATTCCATGTGTGGTCAGTATGCAAATGGTGCCTCGTTGCGATTTGAACATATGCTAACCCCCCAGCAGGCACAATTGCACCAATCGCCGCCATCTGCGACCTTGCTGAAAGGTACGGTGCGATAACCTTCATGGACGAGGCCCACGCAATCGGCCTCTACGGACCTCGCGGGGCCGGCATCGCAGAACATCTTGATTTCTCTGCACACCAGTCAGGTCGACTAACAGGGCGAACGACCATGGAGCGAGTGGATGTCATCTCGGGTTCCGTGAGCAAAGGTCTGGGTACCATGGGCGGCTACATCGCCAGCTCAGCAAGGCTAATTGATCTGGTTCGGTCGGTTGCTCGAGCTTTCATCTTCACAACGACCCAGTCACCCGCTGTCATGGCCGGCGGCCGTGCCGCCATCCAACACCAGCTGCAGCATCCGGACGGTCGCATCGCGCTGCAGCGAAATGTCGCCGCCGTGAAGCGCAAGATGGCGGCGTACGACTTGCCCGTGCTGCCGAACCAGTCACATTTGGTGCCTCTCATGATCGGCGATGCTGAGCTCACCCGACGGGTGACCGATCTCTTGTTCGACGAGTACCATATCTACGTGCAAGCGATAAATAGTCCTACGGTGGCTGTGAACATGGAGCGTGTCCGCATTTCTCCGACTGGGGCTCACGGGGCTGCGCAGCAAGATGCACTGGTTGGTGCGTTAGTGGATATTTGGAGTCGATTGGGCCTGCGTAAGGGATCGGATTGGCAACGGATGGGGGTCTGGGATGCGAAAGATGCGGCTGTGACGCAGCTCTGGACAGATGAACAGCTGGGCTTGACTTTAGGACCGTTTGCGTCTGCAGCAAGTAGCCTTTCCTACCCGTTGCCTGACATGCCTGCGGAAGGACATGTCCAGGGCGCAATGTTATAGGTTGTTTAATATAGTTAATGAGGCTTCTTGTTTGACTACCACCGTAACGATAACTTCTCCTAGTTCAAGTAAAGCCCCAGCTTCAATCCCTTAAGCGGAGGCATTAAAAAAATTGTCGGCCTGTCATATGGTTTAGTTATTATTGCTTGTCTAGACGGTTCATCCACACTCCGCTGTCAAAGTTAACCACTTGCAAGGCCTTAGCCAGGCCAAACTTTACCTGGCAGTGACAAGCATGTTTTTTACCCCGGTGCATAGTCCCGTTATGCACAGTAGACACCTTCGTTGTGCAAAGCCCCAGTTACCAACGCCAAGTTGTGACGAAATCCACTTCAATTTGGGGGCACAGGCACTACGTGGTCCAAGTGGGGACAAAGTCTAGAGTCATCTATTTGTGCCCATAAAAGCCCCACTAGTACTACTGGCGGGATATTCCGAAATACATAGTATGTTGAATGTTGAATGTTCCCCTTCCCCCCCGAGATGGGGACTCGGTCCGCTCGGACACTCCGAGCAGCCCCATTAATCAATGGGCCGGGATGAGACGAGATGCATGCAGATCCAGCCATGTCTGTACAGTGTATTGTGCTTGAAAGATCCCTAGTGCCGGAAGTTAGCTAGCACTAGGAGAAGAATTAGGGGTTCATCGATAGGCATGGATGGACATGGCGCACAAGGGAAAATCGAAGGCATGGGCTCTGGCGCTCCCAGCGTTGCCTGTATCCAACGTCAACACCATCACCATTCCCTGGTGAGAAGCACAGTGATGGATGAAAAACAGATCCAAGTGCTGGATCATCAACTGAATGGCCTCCCAAAGAGCGCCCCCCGTGCCCGGACGGTCTTCAGTTTCGCGACGCCTCTGGACCTCGCTATCATTGCCCTCAGCTGCTTTGCGGCCATTGTAGCTGGAGGTCTCAATCCGCTCTTGACTGCAAGTTCGTCCCAGTTCTCCCCTCCAGTCTGGCGAACACTTTGTAACTGAGTCGCATACCTTTAACAGGTCTTGTATGGTCAACTGGTAGGGTCATTTGATCAGTTCCAGAATGGAAAGATCTCCGGTTCGACGCTGAAGGAGGATATTTCACGGTTCACGCTGTATTATGTATACCTTGCGATTGGACTGTTCGTGTCTGTGTATGTCACTACCGTTGGGTTCTATTACACAGGAGAACGCATCACCTGTACCCTGCGTAGGACTTATCTCCGGGCTATTATCGCCCAGAATATGGCGTTTTTCGACACGCTGGGCGCTGGAGAATTGACCACGCGCATCACATCGGACATCACACAAATTCAAGAGGCCATCACCGGCAATCTTTCTGTTAGTCTAACGGCGGCCGCCACGTTCATTTCCGCGTATGTCATTGCATTCGTGGAGTACTGGAAGCTGGCACTTATCCTCACTTCAACCGTGATTGTGTTGACCGTGACAGGCACGGTGGGTGTTGCGTTGCCGGTTAAATGGACAAAGCAGTCGCTGGCCCTGGAAAGCACCGGTGCCACGGTGGCCGAGGAAGCCATCAGTTCCATCGGACATGTCACGGCGTTTGGCATCCAGGAAAAGCTGGTCGAGAGATATGACCAGCATCTGAAACCCGCAGAGCGGCCGGGCCTCAAAGCAGGAATCATTACCGCGCTGATGATTGGCATGGTGAATGCCGTTCCCTACCTCAGCTACGGTCTCTCATTCTGGGAGGGATCGCGGCTGCTGGTGCGAGGAGAGCTGAGTATCTCAGGAGTGACCACTTCTACTCTCGCGATTGTCATCGGAGCCTGGGCCGTCGGACGGGTGGCGCCCAATGCTAAATCGTTCATCTCCAGTATCGCTAGTGCCGCTGCCATTTTAGAATCCATTGCCCGTGAATCTCCGCAGGATCCTTTCTCCACCGGCGGAGATTCTCTCGAGAATGCTTGTCTAGATATAAAATTCCGTGATGTTCAGCTCGTCTACCCGTCCCGTCGCGAGGTGATAGTGCTCCACCAACTAAATTTAGTCGTTCCGGCATCCAAAACGACCGCGCTGGTCGGGGCATCTGGGTGCGGGAAGAGTAGTATCATCGGGCTGGTCGAGAGGTTTTACTCGCCTACAGGCGGAGAAATATGTATTTTTTCCCCTTTTTCGATTTGTTGGAGACAAAATACGAAAATCTGAACTAACATATGTCAATAGTGCTTGGAAACCATAATATCCAGTCACTCAACTTGAATTGGCTCCGCAGTCAAATCTCTCTGGTCGGACAGGAGCCGACGCTTTTCAATACGACGATCTTTGAAAACATTGCCTACGGGCTCGCCGGACAGGAAGCGTCGCTGACGGCTCAAGAGCTCCAGAGCCTTGTAGAAGAAGCTGCAAGGAAAGCCAACGCTCATGACTTCATTTTAGGCTTACCCCGAGGTTACCAAACCGAAGTCGGGGAGAAGGGCACTCAGCTCTCCGGCGGCCAAAGACAACGCATTTGCATTGCTCGTGCCATAATCAAAAACCCCCAGATTCTTCTCCTCGATGAAGCCACCTCGGCATTGGATGTCCAAGCGGAACGATCGGTGCAAAAGGCCCTGGCTGCTGCTTCACAGGGCCGGACAACGATCGTCATCGCGCACAGACTATCCACAGTTCGGGATGCAGACAATATCGTCGTGATGGCGGATGGACGCATTGTCGAACAAGGGACGCACGACCATTTGATGGCCTACAACGGTCGGTACGCTGAGCTGGTGCGCAAGCAGCAGGTTTCGGGCGAATCCGTCATGGCAGTGGAGAGTGGAGAGATGAGCAGTCAGGGAACAGATACTGAGAAGCTCTTGGATAGTGAATCGGATCTGGGCTGTAGTCCTCTGGCGGAAAAGGGCACACCTCATCCCAAGACCGAAAGAGTTCCCAGCAGTGCTCCGACGGAGTCTTCGCAATCGAAGAGTGTAGCATCCTCGTGGAATGGTTTGTCCAATGCTATGAGACTCATTGGGAAGTTGAGTCGACCGGAAACGATCCTTACTCTTGTGGGAACTGTTCTAGCTATCGTGGCAGGCTTGAGTGTTCCTGCGTAAGGCAGCATCCCAACTATATCACCCTCTATAGCCCTAATCGGATGCTGACCTCTTTTAACAGGCAATCTATCATCTTCGCTAAACTTATTGACGCATTATCTTTGACCACTGTACGCCACTTGCGCGACAGCGTCAATTTCTGGTCGCTAATGTACCTGGCATTGGGACTGGGAATCTTCGTCGTCTGGCTCGTACACGGAGTCATCTTCGCCTACACGACGGAGAAACTCGTCCATCGTGCACGCAAGCAATGCTTCCGCCACATTCTGAGACAGGAGGTTGACTTCTTCCACCTAGAGGAGAACTCGACTGGGGCCCTGACGTCGCTCTTATCTTCGGCTCCAACCGATCTCAAAGGGCTCAGTGGCCCGGTGCTGGGTGCCATTCTCACATTCATCGCCACCATCGTGGGAGGTATCGTGTTATCCTTGGTCATTGGATGGAAGTTAGCCCTCGTGTGCACAGCAACGATTCCCTTAGTCGCCGGCTTTGGCTGGGTCCGACTGGCAATGTTGAGCCTTTTCGCAGACAAGATGAAGAAGACACATCAGGAATCAGCGGCGTATGCTAGCGAGGCCGTTTCGGCTATCCGGACCGTGGCCTCGCTCACGATGGAGACTCGTGTTCTGCAGCACTATGACACCATCATTTTCAGCAAATCCAAGGAGTCGGTTCGCTCCATCTTCCAAGCCTCGGCCTTCTACGCCCTATCCCAGTCTATCACATTCCTCTGCGCGGCGCTGGCCTTCTGGTACGGAGGCACTCTACTCTCCCGACACGAATACACCGTCGTGCAGTTCTTCATCTGCTTCGCCGCGCTGATCTCCGGCGCCCAAACCGCCGGCGTCATTTTCTCCTACGCGCCCGGCATGAGCAAGGCAATGGGCGCCGCTCGGGACCTCCGCAACCTCTTCAACCGGCGTCCCGCAATCGATAGCTGGGACACGTCCGGCAAGCCATTCGACAAGGAAGCCTGCAGTGGCCGTATCGAGCTCCGAAACGTCAGCTTCCGCTACCCGTCGCGACCGGAGCGGGTCGTCGTCGACAACTTCAATCTAACCGTGCAACCGGGCCAGTTCGTCGCCCTGGTAGGAGCAAGCGGGTGCGGAAAGAGCACGCTGATCGGCTTGCTCGAACGCTTTTCTGACCCGACATCGGGCCAGATCCTACTAGACGACCAGGATATCTCAACCCTGAATGTGGCCAGTTACCGTAGCGCCATATCCCTGGTCGGTCAGGAACTGACGCTGTTCTCGGGCACCATTCGTGAGAACTTACTGCTGGGGACAATGGATGACGTTTCGGAGGACGAGATCATCCAGGCCTGTGTGAAGGCTCACATATACGATGTCATCATGTCATTACCGTAAGTTCTCATTTTGAATTGTGTTGTTGCATGCCACGGGACTTATCCCCCTTCTTCCCTTCCCCTACCTGTGCCTATATCCTTGTGGCTAATAGGGAGACTCTTTTCCATAGAAACGGCTTCGCTACCGATCTAGGGTCGAAGGGTGTCATGCTCAGCGGAGGGCAAAAACAGCGATTGGCGATTGCGCGTGCTCTCCTCCGCAACACCAGGATCCTGCTCCTGGATGAGGCGACTGCAGCGCTGGATTCTCGCTCCGAAGCGATGGTGCAGGAGGCGCTGAATAAGGCGTCCGAGAAAAGGACGACGATTGCCGTGGCGCACCGGTTGAGTACGATCCAGCACGCGGACGTTATCTGCGTGCTGGAGGCAGGGAGAGTAGTTGAGGTCGGAAATCACCGGGAGTTGATGAGAAAAGAAGGTGTGTATGCTGGGATGGTGGATATGCAGAATCGAGGATTAGTCATTGAGTAGGAGGTGCGTGTGTGTGTGTGTGTGTGGTTGATTATATGTAGGATGGTAGTATCTTTTATCTACTTTCTAATGTTCGCGAAATTTTCAACATTGGTGAAGCATTGTTGTCGTTTGTATAGTTGTGTCTATGCAGCTTTAATTCACATTCTCTCCTTCTCCACCACTTGCCTAGATGAATTATAAACCAACAAAGAACGACAGAACACCGCCAAGGGTACGAAGAGCACTAGCAGAGAAAGCTCTGATCCGTAAACCCATAATCACTGGTCCTTGGGAGGCCGGTTGGCATTGATATTGTTTAAAATCTCCCCTGCACCAGCCTTGACCAGTCTTTCCGCGAGTTCTTTTCCCAGCGCCGTTGCTTCCTCGACCGTTTGGACATTTGAGACAATGGTGTCCTCGACACTCTTGGTACCGTCCAAACTAACCACGATAGCGTGTATGCTTAAGTCTCCCGAAGACATCCACTCGGTTTCCACCCCAATCGGGACACTACACCCACCTTCAAGGGTTCTCATAAGAGACCTCTCGGCTAGGCAAGCAAGAGTGGAGTTTTGGTCGGCCAGTTGGCCTAGCAATTCCTGCATCTTACGGTCTCCCTTGCGGATTTCCAAGCCTAGAGCGCCTTGTCCGACTGCATGGAGAATGCCCCCATCCTTAGAGCCCAGATACTGATTAATCCGATATTCGAGGCCTACCCGCTGAAGACCCGCAGCAGACATCACCATACATGTGTACTCACCATCCGGATTGTCCACCTTGGCGAGACGAGTCTCTACGTTGCCGCGAAGATTGGCAAAGCGGAGATGTGGATAGAGACGGCGAAGCTGTGCTGAGCGCCGTACAGACGAGGTGCCTACCACAGCGCCCTCGGGAAGGGTCTGCAAGCTCGTGTAAGGCAGGCCGGCCTTCACAATCAAGGCGTCCCGGGGATCATCACGGGGCGGAATAGCTGCGAGCTCACAGGAGTCGGGAAGGCTCGTCGGCATGTCTAACCCCGGGTCAACAGTTGAGGTTTGGTCTGCAGTTGAGCATAATCACCTTTCAGACAGTGTACAATGACATCGAGTTCGCCGGCATTGAGCTTTTCCTCCAGCTCGGTAGTCCAGAGACTCTTGGCACCAAAGTTATACAGCGCCGTTAACTGGTCTCGATCACCCAGCGTGCGGAGTGCTTCGATTTCATACAATCGATCCGGGGCAATCTTTTGCAGGCAATCCCGGATGCCCTCCGCCTGGACCATGGCCAGGTTGGACCGTCGGGTCCCGATCCGGAGTGGCGGCTGAGGTGTTAGAGAGGTTTCCATTATATTACCGGGCGATAAACGAAGGGGGGCGGGTTAGTAGGAGAAAGGACAAGCAGTAGAGAAACTTGAAAGAGAAGGATATGGTCCAGAATACCCACAAAGGCCAGAACGGCCCCGTCTTAAAGGGCATTTAATTTATCCACATAGGACGCTAAAAGGTGGAAATACGCACGGAGAAGGACTCCGTACCCAAGCGGCAATTTAGCGCTCTTAAGTTTCCGGTACCCTAGTATCTCCACCTTGCTGCAGAAAACAAGGTCATACAGATGAGTAGGAATTATCGGGTATCGCCGGTGAGAATATAGAGTTCACATCAAGAGAAATGACTATCATAATTAAGCCAGCCACTGGGTGATCCAACTTGGTTTGGGATTAGCGGAACGGAAAGGTACATACATAGCGCTCATAAATCTAATCGGCTATACTCCGGAGCAGTTAGTTATTCGACCTAATTGGTAAGTAGTATGGGTCAAAGACTGTCAACCGACTTAACCCTGCCTACAGCCAAGAGCCCCAAGACCGCTGTCCCGAACCAAGACTGTGGATCCTGACACTATTCCGGAGTCAAGCTCTCGCGGGGTGGGTCAATACGCTGCCGCGTATAAACGGGGAATTACCACTATTACTATGTATTAGTAATAATGAGGATGTTGAGTGGCGGGCGTATTTAGTCGGTGGGCATTTGGCGAGATTCAAATCCCACTTAATATTTTCTAATCATTTAGGCGAAGCCGCGGAAACAACCGACCATTGGGGAGAGTGGAGTTAGGGTTGCATCCGGAGAGTAACCAGATCGTGCTTCTACTCCGTAGTCCGTACAGAGTAGAAAACAAAAGTGGAACAAAGAAAGAGAGAAAATATGACAAACAAAAATGGATACTACAATGGTGATGTTGGGTCTTTAGCACAGATGATAGCAGAGTGGATGTGATTGTTTTCGTTACATCTCCAAGTCTTCAACGGTTATTATGTCAACGATGGCAGCGACATATGCTGGGCCACCGCTAGCAAACGGTCTCCAGCCCCTATCTTGTCTACGCTGCGCGCACCGCAAGGTACGCTGTGATCGGGTGGTTCCTTGTTCCAATTGCATCAGACACAATGCTGTATGTGATTTTCCCCAGCCCAAAACAGAGAAACGCCAGCGCAGAAAGGTAGCCGTCGCATCGCCGTCATCACGGAACAAGCTGCGCCTGGGATGTGACCGGTATAAGGATGTCAAGGCTCTGAGTGTGGATGTCGATACCATCCCAGACACTTTACAGGGCACCATCACTCATTCTCCTCGCCGGAACAAGACCCCGCTACGGGAAACAGTGGACGCTGCTGCTGCCCCCAATGGCCAACTGATTGTCATGGGAAAGCGGAGTCGTTACGTCGAGGGCGATCTGTGGACTAGGATAGTGCAAGAGGTTTGACACCCCGTTGCAGTCCATTGACTGTATCGAAGGACAGTACTAAGACCTGAATCAGCTAAATACCGGGGACATATTTCCAGATTCATCCTCTGACGAAGAGGATGATGAAGAGGTCGCATCTGACACAAGCGCTGGGTACAAGGCAAGCGCGCTTGCTCTCCGTCTCTCGCCACAAACTCCTCCTATAGCATCGTACTACCCGACCAAGCAGCATTTTCGCATATTGTGGCCGATATACCTGTCCAACATCCACCCCGTCACAATGATCTTGCATGCGCCCTCTACGGGCGAGATACTGACAAAAGCCGTTGAGGGTCACGGACACACGTCGAAAAATGCAGAGTCACTGATTCTCGCGATCTTGATGTGTGCCCTCACATCTATAACAGATGCCGAATGCACGCGATTACTGGGACAGGAGAAAGCGGTCCTTCTATCGAGATATCGTCGAGGCTGTGAGATAGCATTGGACAAAGCCAATTACCTCATGTCCTGCAACATAGGTGTGCTCCAAGCTTACACCCTTTACCTGGTGAGTCTGCAAGCAAATTTCTGCTGATAACGACAACTTCATCTCACTAACGAACCGCGCAAAATAGGTGGCTATTGGCCCGTATGTAGATCCTTGCGAACTCTGGAATCTGACGGGAATCGCCAAGAGGAACGCTCAAAGACTGGGTCTACAACAGGAGGTGCCAGCGGCAGGCCTGACACCATTTGAGGTTGAGATGCGTCGGAGGTTGTGGTCTCAGATCGTCATGCATGATACTATCTCTGCCCAGAATGCAGGTTTCCACTGGTCGGATATCGACTGCAACATAATCGCGCCGAGTAATGTCAACGACGTGGATTTATCCCTTAGCATGAAGCATTCACCAGCGCAGCGTGCTGGGGCAACTGACATGATATTCTGCAACCTGCGCCACAAAGTGATGAAGTTTATGGGCCAAGTCAATGGTGGCCAACGGCCATGGGCTCTTGCAGCGGGAGAAAAGTGGACTTCTGCTACCGACCAATTGTACCGCATGGAGCGGGAGAAGGCAGTAGCAGAGATGGAGGAGGAACTGGAGTTGGAATTCCTTCGTTATTGCGACATGTTGAAGCCGGTCCATTTCCTCACGGTCATCGTAGCACGTTTGTCACTGTGCAAGCTGCGTTATGCAATATTGGCGCCATGTCAGCACGGCAAAAACGGATCCGACTGCACTGGAAAAGACAGGGATGCCATGTTCACTGCGGCATTGAAGGTCCTCGAGTACGAAAATAACGCCAGTAGCCAACCATCTATCCAGTGCTTCCTGTGGCATACACACCAACACTTTACATGGTCCTGTCTCATAGACATCCTGGAAATTTTGAAAACACAACCTCGTAACGAGCAAGTCGACAAGGCGTGGGAACAGATCCACATGTTCTACGACGTCTGCCCCAACCTCCCTCAGAATTCAAGGTCCACTCCCCCTCTATACAGAGTAGTTAACAAGATGGTCGTCGAGGCATGGCGGGTCCGGGAGACTGAGGCTTCAGAACGAGGCGAGGTGTTAGTATCCCCAAAGTACATCACGACACTGAGAGAACAAGATCATGGCACCAAAGCCACAACCCAAGCAGAAGATTTGCAGCGCTCCTCAACCTCCAGTGTCTCACATACAATCAGAGATCAGCTGACGAATCAGGAACCGCTCTTGGTGAGCGGCGGTTTCGGACAGGGGTCAACCAGTTGGCCCAATTGGGCCGATCTAAGCATCGCAGGCTCGCGTCTGACAGGCAACGATATGAACTTATTGGACCCAGCACTCGGCCAGGGGGGTCATACGTCGTTAGTTGGTCACAACTACAATCTCCAGCTTCCGCAGAACCCCATACTGCCTCTGGATCAATATGTAGCATGCGGATGGGGCGGTACATGAATTTATCTTGATATCAACTGTAGGACGAAAAGGGCCTATTCAAGGTTCGCCCAGGGTAATTTGAAAAAGGTTTAAATTTTCATTTTGGAGAGTGGAGACGCAAAGAAATTATACGTACAACGGTATAGGTATTTGATGACCGATTCAGGCAGATGTAAAGCCCAGAATCTTAAGTATAAGTGAAAACTTTCAGGAGTAGTATCAGGCAGCTCAGTCGGAGGTAGGCACAAGGCACGAACGCTCTTCATCTGATAATTGCGGTATGACCACTGGTCCATACAAAGTTGTTGAGAGAGACTCGATAGCTGCGCAAAACAAGTCTGCAATTCGATGGATCATGCGTGTCCCATATAAACTCGTGTTGTATCTCAACTTTAGCTCTAGGGTCTCCCTTCTGCCGTTGTCCTCTTTTTCCGGTTTCGACGCCAGATGCCCTGGTAAACACAGTAACCACAAGTCTGTCTTGTCATGCTGTTGTTCCTCGTAGATGGAATCAACCTCAAGTTTGTCTTCTCCGTCCTCGACCCAGATTTCGCTTCCGAAACTGGCCGATCCAACGTTGACGAAATTGACAATACTCGAGAATCTTTCTTCCTGGCCCCAACCCGTGCACTTTTGGATGATGTGCTTGAACCCGAGGGACTCGTGCGGGATTGCGGAAACTAGATCGGCTTGGACCGCCCTGAGGAGCTCAATACAAGTAAGGTTCGGCGAAAGGCGTACTCGGACTGGCATAAAGTTCACGCAAGGGCCGACAACCGTCTCGATATCCGGAATGTGAACCTGGCGCCCAGCAACGAAGTCACCGAATACGACATCGACTGACTGAGATACTGAGGAGATTGTGAGGGCCCAGGCTGCCTTAACAATGACAGCCGTGCTGAGGCCGTAGCGTCGTAGGTTTGGTTCCACAATGGATCGCCTGAGTTCGCCGTCTAAGTTCTTGTCGAAAGGTGGTCCGCACCTACCTCGTCTCACTAGTTGTGGCATTCGGCTACCCTTGAGATGGTTTCGCCAATAAACCTCTGCATCGTGTATAAGGCGTGGGTCTTGTATTCTCCTGGTGTATTCATGGAAGGGCAAGGTGCGCGGGATTGGCTGGGAGAAGTAGAGGTACCTAAGATGTTGCCCAAATGTGTCGGCGCAGAACCCGTCATACTGCGCATGGGAGAGCCGCATAATAAGTCTATGCCTGGTAGGGGATGCTTTGATCAGGTCAAATCGCAAGATAGGGCTTCCTAGAGGAGAGATTCTATCTATCGCGTATATTTTGTTGCTTTGCGTCTCCATTTCGTCGATGGTTGCATGATGAATTCTAAATGGGGCGTCTTGTACATGATGCACCCGCATGTGGATTCTGTCGTCGATAGGTTCGAACACAGTTCTGAGGATCGAGTGTGCCTCAACAAGACCTTTGCAGCTTCTTTTGAGCTGTTGCAAGTCAAGTTGGCCCCGAAAGTCGTACACAAGGTGGTCGATCCATCCTCCATTGATCGCGCCCACAGACGCCGCCCACTCCTGGAAGTCAGTTGCTCTCAAAATAATCGTACTGTGGTGGTGCCAGGATAGGTCGTTTTTAACATCATCGGTAATCGCTGCATCTCTCACATCAGCACTCCCGACTATTGCAAGCTCGGCCATATTTTGCAATAGGGGACATCTCAAGATATCCTGTGTTGTTAACCCAAGATTCTTCGAGCGCGATGCCGCGACAAGCCTTATTGCTGCGAGTGAATCACCACCCAAAGCGAGGAAATCGCTCTGTCTTCCAATACCTGTGACGTCTTGGCCGAGAATACCTGCCCACAACTCGGCGAGCATACGCTCTTTGTCATTTGCGGGAGGCACTAGCGGGTTGTCACTCACAGGTAACGACGACGCAAGCAAGGCCTTATAGCCTAATTTACTCGCATCACTCCGGAGCTTCCTGCGGTCGGTCTTATAGTTTTGCGGCAGGTTCTTCATAACGAGGAAAGCTCTAGGAATCATGTGCCGTGGAAGAGTTTCTTCAAGGTGTTTCCGAGCGAGGGAGATAACTGTTTCACTATCAAGATTTGGGTAGTGGTCTTGCTTGCGCACATTTTCCAACTCTAGGCGACAGAAGGCCGTCAAAACAGGTCGATCAGGGGCATCAAATGGCCTGACCAGGTCCACGATAGCTTCTGATTTTGGTGGTAACATATCACGGAGGTTTGACTCAATGTCTCCTAGCTCAACACGCTGTCCATGAATCTAAAAGTCCGCGTGTTACAAGAGTGACAAGTTGGGTATTGTATACGTCCTACGTACCTTAACTTGAGCATCGGCGCGCCCATATACTGACAGACTGCCATCTATCTCGTATCTTCCCAAGTCTCCCATTCTTAAGTATCTGCAACCTGTGGCAGCAGATCGTTCTTGCGCCCAAACAGGGGGGTTGATGAAAGTTTTGGCGGTCTTATCCGGATCATTCAGATACCCAGTAGCTAGTTCATGACTTTCAAAGACAATCTCACCCACTGCACCTATGGGGACTAACTTGTTCACATCTTGCGGATCCACAAGCCACGATAGTCCACCGATAGGAAACAGGCCATGTGTTTGATAATGTGGATTACTTCGGTCTTTGATCATGAAGCCCCCTTCGCTCGCTAGTGGATTATATCAGTGCCACGCCAAAATGATCCAAACGCTATCTATTACATACCACCATATAGTTGGATGAAGTGGACGTAGGAAGCCCAAGCCTTTTCAAGGTCATGGCCTAAAGGCTCGCCACCTACACACAAATGTTTCAAACTTGGCACGTCTTTAGGGTCGATTGTCCGAACAAGTGATGGTGTCATGTAAGACCGAGTTGATCGCGAGCGGTTGATAAATTCAACCAGCCCTGATGTGCGCTCCGTCTCAGATGGCACGCATAGGGTTGCACCGTGGAGTAGGGAACGGAAATTATCCCTGGCAAAGCTCAATAAATGAAGGGGTTCGTAAATAAAGCCCACTCACCCAACACCAGCAATAAATGCATAAGACCCAAATTGTAGAATCCTGGCCCCATTGTTGTATTCAGCGTTCCAACTGTAGGATTTGTGCTCCGACGTCAGACGGTTGTGAGTATGCATTACACCTTTAGGTCGACCGGTGCTACCGCTTGTAAACGCCACAAAGGCTAGATCATCAGGCCTCACGTCCGCCATGCGCCATGCATCAACCCGAGAAATGGGAAGACCTTCGCGCTCGAGGACCTGAGGGAGATCCTCCAAGTCCGCTATTACATGAAGACCAACCTTTTTGAACCTCGGTGCATGGGTTAAATCACTGATGATGATCCTAGCTCCCACCTCTTTCACGATTGCAAACAAGCGCTCATCCGGATATGCGGGATCCATAGTCGTGACAGCGCCCCCAGATTTCCATACAGCCGTCATCGCACATGTGCCCCATTTGCTTTTGTTCATACAAATCGGTACAATCATATTTCGCTTGAGACCAAGCTGCGTCATACGTACCGCCAGCACGGTGCTGAGGTCGTCCAGCTCACCGTACGTGAAACAACCGTCAGAAGTGTATACTGCTTCCTTATTTACCTTGCGTTGGAAAACTTTCTCGAAGTGCTCATTGAGGGTTTGGCGGGCAGGAGTCGGCAGATTAGTGTTCCAGCTATAGATATGCTGCAAGTCCCGAGAGCTAATCAGGCTGACGCTCGACAGTAGATCATCGATGTTGCTGCTGATGGTTGACAGGATACTTTCGAATGTAGCAAGGACGTTCTGTGCACACCACCTATCCAGGATATCTGTGCGGTAGTGCAATGTGGCCTTGACTTGGCCGGTATAAGCGGTGTCGCTATCAACACAGAGGACTATTTCAGAGCGAAAGGGATTCTCGAAAGGTTGCTCGTGCAGGTCAAAGTGTGTTAAATTGATGGTCGCGTTAAAATACTTGAAGCCGGCTTGATCTTCGTACGCACGAAAATCATCTGCCCCTGTCAGTGGGATACACACTAGTTTCTGAGAGTTATCGAGCAATGATGTAGACAAGTCAAACTCTGCTCTGAGGAGATGGGCTATGGGTAATCCTGGGGTGTTTGACTTTGAGCTAGTCAACAAACCGCAGGATATGCTATCAGTGCGAATGTAGGCCTTGAGTAGTAGTGCGAAGGCAAATGTATACAGATCTTTCCCGCCCAATTCTCGAGTCTCTGGTAAACACAGCCATGAGGAATATGTCTCTGTTGTCGGTGAATCGACAAGGTCAGGGAGTAGTCTTGGGAAGTGGCAAGGATCCACGTCTACAAGAGCTCTCAATAGGTCGTCTTGAGAAGGCATTGTAAAAACAGTCAAACACAAGTGCTCTGTTCTCAAGAATAATGAAGCTTCGAGTAGTTATTCGAGTCATCAAATGCTTAGGAAGTGGAATTTTGGAATTACATGCTAGATGAGACGGCGAAAATACTAAACATAGATTAATGAGGAAAATAACACCAGTAGAAGAGCTGAGAGAGCAACTATTGTGCCCTATGCCTTCGGACTCTGCGAGAGAAGCCTCGCGAGCAGCGTTTGTGGGCCGATGTTAAACACCGGGACACAACCCCGAATGACAGCGCAGGTCAACGAAGGCTCGGACGGTCCGAGAACTTCAACAAGCGGGCTTGGCGACTGATGGGACTCGAATATATGGTTTTGCATTCCATTTGGAGTATTACATGGTGGCTTTTGTGATGGGGGCTCAGAATCTTTGGAGGATGCTCGGACATTCCGAGATGGAAGTTCGGAGTCACCGTAGAATGGGCTTCGACCTATAGTCGAAACACTCTTGGGGGAGCCAGATAGCCCGTAACATTCACAAATAGGGACTTCCTGCGGCACTCTCTTATTATTCTTTACGCGCGAACAAGAAACGATCTCCACGACATCAACCAACTGGTCCTCTTTGCGGGAGTCTAACTCGAGCTGGACAGTATGCGTCTAAGAGGCCAAGTCAACGAAGTGATGTCCGGTGTAATAATAGCGAAGGATGGAAATGACCATGACGGTGAGTGTGCAGTCCGTCTATTTGCCATCGTGCATCATGTACGTTGATGCCATCCAATGCCTTACTTACAAAGGACATTGCTCCAGTTCGAATTCTCTGCACATGGAATGCCAATGGGCCCGCAGATACCACAGGACCTATATCTTGGCAGTCCATTGACATCTGTTTCAGAGAGATCTCCAGGTCTCCCTCGTTCGTGTGGGCTACGAACGCGGAAGATACTTCGCTGTTGATCGAGGGTTCAGCAGATGAGCTGAACCGGGTTGATCCGCAAAGTCTTGGATCCACAGCAGCATTTCAATTTCTGCTCGACTGTCTGGTAGCTGCTGGCCGTGAGCATGGTTGTGTGGGCAGGCTTGTGGTACCACAGTCCCGTGGGTATATCGTACGGTCCGATATCATCCCATTACGATTACTGGACTGCCGGCCGGTGGCTGGTATTGTGGGGTTCGCTAGACCCCATCAGTTTTTTGAAGGAGAATCTATATGTATCAAAACATTACACCAGGTTCTCAATACGTTCGCCGTGTCTGCTGGAGGGATGCTTTTGAAACAGATTAATACCGACAAAACCACGCTCGACTCGCAGTTAGAGGACCTCGATGTGGAATTGCGCAACCGATTGTCATTTCCTTGGCTGTTAACGCAGAGACCCAAGCGCAAAACCCTTGCTCTTGTTGAAGGCGGCCGTCGTAGCCCTGATTATCGAGGGAACGGAGAGACCGTCTTCACTGCGGCTGAAGCTCTAGGGATTGACATGGTAGTGCTCGACAACCCCGGACACTGGTTAGAAGGTCCCCGTTGGGCTCACTGGCGAAAAGCTTTCCTTCCGATTGAATGTACCTTGCAGTCTGATGAGGTGTTTACGCGCCGGGTTGTTGATGCAATCCGCGCGTACGACGGTCACATTGATGGCCTCGTGACATTCTGCGACCACTACCAAGAGCCAGTCGCTGCCGCCGCTTTGGAGCTCTCATTGCCAGCGTGTTCTCCGGAAGCATTTGCTCTTGCCACTGACAAGTTCAGGCTAAGATTATTTGAGGGACATGAAGCATATGAAGCGTCCAGCGTGCAAGAAGCTACCAACATCATACTAGAGCACAACCTCGAGTTTCCACTTATTTTCAAACCCCGTACTGGATACCTCTCAGAGGGAGTGTTCAGAGTGGAGAGCCTCGCCCAGGTAGAGGATGCTGTACAATCGATCAATGTCGAGAGACACGGCACAGCCTTCGCCATTGAGAGGTACTGTGACGGGCCGGAAGTGGATGCAAACTTTATACTTTGCGATGGTGAGGTGTTACATTTCGAAGTATCCGACGAATTTCCCAAAGGTGCGGATGTTAACGGCAACGGAAACGTTGAAAGCTTTATTGAACTAGGAGGTGTCTTCCCATCCTGCCTCCCCGTTGATGAACTTGCCCTCCTTCGAGACTCACTGCATCGAAGTTTGTGTCAAATGGGTTTCCGGGACGGGGTCTTCCATCTCGAAGCGCGGGTTGCGAACTCAAGCATGGAATTTACGAAGAAAGACAATGTGCTTGACTTAACCGAGCGCAGTGTTCCAGTCAAGGGAAAACCCTCAGTCTGGTTGATCGAGGTGAACCCCCGACCACCCGGCATCGAAGTCTCCGATGTCTTGAAGCATACGTATGGCATCGATTACTGGGGCGTTGGATTGCTCTTTGGTCTCCAAGACAGACAGCGTGTCAGGCAGCTTTCACATACGTTTCTGCAAGGGCCGCAATACTGGTCCGAGACAATATTCATTCCGGTTGAAAAGGGTGGGATCTTTGATTCGGAGGACGTGTGTCTAGAACTCTTCAGCAGACGCCCTGATCTTGCTGAATGTGTCTCGTGGTATCATTGCCATTATAGCAAAGGCGCTCGCGTACCAGACCCTCGCACCACAGGTGTGTTTTCGTGGGCGGCACATTTTAACATATTTTCGCGATCATCTCGGGCACACTTGTTGGAAATCGCGGACTGCATTAAGAAGGAGGTCAAGTTTTCTATTATATAGATGACGATAGACGTTATCACGAACTACTCCCTAACAGCATAACAAATGTGCACTCAATTCGCTAATGACTGATAGGAAACGGGTAATTGATGAGATGGACGCAAAGAACTTCTAGGGTTCGGGTTCAACACTTCAAACCCGCTCCTGACTTGGTATCGAGTCAGGTTTTCTGTAGTTAATCCAAATGATCACTAACTCAATCCTAAGGGTAAAACATGTACTCCGTATATATATATATATGTGTGTGTGTGTGTATGTGTGTGTGTGTGTAGAAGAAGCTTTGAAAGCGCGCTTTAGCGCTCTAATAAACTGTGTGCAGAAAGAGATATCTAAGGAGTAATCTAATAAATCGATCGAGTCTATATCGAGGTGTATTGATACAGTTATTCAGGTACATGGCTGGTATACTAGGTATTAGCCAGTAAAAATAACAGTATTTTACTTTAAGATTTATTATTTCTCTACAGGACTCCGTACGTACTCGGGATAGATCTTTAGATTGACTAGTAAATTAGTAAGAAAGCAGAAGAATAGTCTGTATGTATGTAGTTTGCCAGGCACTTCTTTATTTTCTCGCAGACTTGGGATTAAAACCCTGCCCCTCTCTACTCTCTTAGTATTTACCCCTCACCGACTCGCGTAGGTTCGGATGTTCACAACGAGCGTTGCATCGTCAATGAAGGAGTCAATGCTCTAGCCTTCCGATTACTTGTATATAGTATCGAAGGAAATTTATTGAGGGCTTAGATCGCTCTTATCGAAGACTCCGACACCGCACATAGGATACCCAATGGCTACTAGAATGTTTGTAAGCTAGTAACCTTATCTAATCAAACCCCGATTATCAAGCATTTCTTCCGCCACCTTTATCTAAGTTTCCCTCAAATGCTGCGTCTGCACAAGTTCTTCTATCCATTTATTTTTATAAAAGAAATAAATAAATAAAAGCAATAGCTGGGGGATAATATCACATTATGTCGCCAAGTCTAGTTGCTCCAGAGCCAGGTATGTGTGTACTTCTTCGATCGGAGGTATCGTTTCCCTTATGTTTTGCTAATTACTTCCAGAGCACTGCCCTGGTCCTGAGTCGGAGCAGGCAGGTCAAGGTGATGCCTGCGCTGGATGCCCCAATCAACAGATTTGTGCCTCTGCCCCGAAGGGTCCCGATCCCGATATTCCCATCATCCAAGAGAGACTATCCCAAGTCCGACACAAGATCCTTGTACTATCCGGGAAAGGTGGGGTTGGCAAATCGACCTTTTCCTCTCTCCTCGCGCATGCGTTCTCAGCGAATCCAGACTCGATGGTTGGCTTGATGGACACCGATATCACTGGACCTTCGATTCCAAAGCTAATGGGGGTGGAATCCGAGACAATCCACGTGAGCAACGCAGGCTGGAGCCCGGTGTGGGTGACAGACAACCTAGGCGCAATGAGCGTGCAGTTCATGCTACCCAATCGGGATGATGCAGTGATCTGGAGAGGGCCAAAGAAGAATGGTCTGATCAAACAGTTCCTAAAGGATGTGGACTGGGGTGAGCTGGACTATCTCATTATTGACACACCACCGGGCACCTCGGATGAACATCTGTCTGTCAACTCTCTCCTGAAGGACTCCGGAGTTGACGGTGCTGTCGTTGTCACTACACCACAGGAGGTATCCCTACTAGATGTTAGGAAAGAGATCGACTTCTGCCGCAAGGCCGGTATTCGAGTCTTGGGGTTAGTTGAGAACATGAGTGGCTTTGTCTGCAAGAACTGCAACACTGAAAGCCAAATTTTCCGGGCCACGACGGGCGGTGGTAAACGGTTGGCGAAGAAAATGGGCATCCCGTTCCTAGGGGCGGTCCCTCTCGACCCCAGAATCGGAATGGCCTGTGACTACGGTGAAAGCTTTGTAGATGGCTTCCCAGATAGCCCGGCGGCAAAGGCGATCAAACAGGTGGTGCGCGCGGTCGGACAGTTGGTTGGAGAAGACCCTGATACTGTGCTACCGGATGATACAGCAGAGTGATGATTGCAATTTTCTCCTTTTGGGGCCATCTTTTGTTTTCAAGCGTGATTGCATTGGGGGTTAAAACTGTTCGAGACTTTGGCGTTTCTTTGGCATACAAACGATTGATACCACTGCAGATCATTCGAGGTTATCTAAATAGCATTATGAGTATTAAGTGCGTTTGACTTAGTGAGCATCAGTTTCCAAACCAGTGGCGCTCCCAGTTCGTATCGTGCCGTATAATGTGTTGTACACGGTCAAGAGCCAAGCCTTAAAAATGTGCAGCGCTGAAATGTAGGGACAAGCCGGTCCCGTCCCTAATGATAAATCCACACAGTAATACTCCACCAGGGATTTCTCAGGGCTGCCACCTGCCTCATGAGGAGAGAATCGGCACTGCCAAGCATGACTATACTGGCAAAATCGTTATGTATAAATTGGGTACCCTGTTGATCGACGTTACCCAAACTATAGATAATTCTTGGCCCTGGTTAGAAGGTGAAATCCCACTTCTTGACATCCCCCAAGCTTCCTTGTGAGTAAGAAATGGGAATCGACTTGTCTTTGGTGTCCAAATTCTAGCGACCGTTGATTGGACAGGTCTTCGAAAAGGACTCTCCGCTGTTCATGGCTGCAGAATTTATCCACAAGGTTGACGCAATCCATGGGGTACGTAGGCAGATAAGTAGTCTTAGGTCTCGGCCAGTCGAGATCCCTCCGTGTCCAAAAGCGCTAGATTATACCTATCAGATTTTAAAAACAAAGTTAAATCATATCTACTCCGTATGGAACTTCGAGGACTATTCCCAAACCTTAACAAGGGCCAATCGCACGTTTTCCTTGATTCTTTCTGGGGAAAATCATCCCTGTCCGTACTGCGTCTTATGGGACAATTGTACGGAGTACGGAGTAGTGTACCATACGGAGTAAGAGTGACTTGATTGCCGACGCCGCTGTGAATGGCTAGACTTTTGGAGGCAACGCTGCTTCAGGTGGACGAGCTGAAACAGTACTTGAGGACGCTGATTGGCCATTAAGTTTGCCGCTGGCGGGCCATCAGTCCGGGTGTTTCAAAAATTGTACCTCCGTGCTTTAGCTTCCCAAGCCTTGAGTGGCTTTGGCGGCTGTGATATCCACAGCTGCGATGCCTAAGGTTTGCCATGCCGACCCAAACACCGATCAGTCAACCCACTGTGTCAGCCATATTGACTAACGGGCGAGGCACCAAGATTGTCCCCTCCCTACAGCTAACGTCACGTCGCTGTGGATTGGCTCCTTTCACTCTATTCAATTCTTGGACTCGCCTTCGAGTGGATCCAGTACAGGATGCTTCCAAGCCTTCCAGTAGAACGATGGATGGTCTATTGGCCCCCTATGAGTGGACCATATAAGCGTCTCAAAAGTCTTGGACGACTACACACAAAGTATTATATCTCGGAAATGGCTCCATCTGGCTGCTTCTGATGTCCATGCCTTTGCTGTGAATTTTTTTTTCGCCTTCCTCTTCTTCCAATTTTTGTACGGTTACTTTTAATTGCTCTCCTTCTTAGATATCCAACTAACCCCTTCTAATTCAGTTCCTAGCGCCTTGCTTGCAAGACCGGCTTCTCTTCTCTGAGCACTGTCTTCTGACCATATACAGGCGTCCAAGTCAGGCACTTGGCCCTGGTATATACCTTCGTTTCATTGATATACCCTTTCTTTGTATAGATACTTCTTTTTTTTCTAGTCCCTCTAGCAGAGGCTTAATATCGTTCATTCCAAACTCAGAAGCAGCACAAGATTGCCACCATGAGATTTCTTCTGACTTTTCTGATTACTTTCTCTCTCGCCTGCGGGGTGCTTTCACTTCCGTCCGGCTTAAAGTCTCAAGTCAAAGGCAGGTCCTTTAAGGTTGAGCGGGTACGGCGCGGAAATGAGCCTGTCCATGGCCCAGCGGCTCTGCGCAGAGCATACGAGAAATTCGGGATTGTCCCAACAGACCTTGGGATCGATTTGGATGATTTTGAACCCATAACGGAAAGGCATGCTGTCATTGCGAAGAAAGATGCCACTGAGCCGGACCAAAAAGGTGCTGTTAGTGCAGCCTCAGTCCTGGGGGATGCTGCATTTGTCTCTCCCGTCACTATCGGCGGTCAAAAACTTGTCTTGAACTTTGACACTGGCTCTGCCGACTTGTAAGTGCAATACCTTACAGAATAAGCTCATCCTAGCCGTTGACAATTAATTTACAGCTGGGTGATGAATACGGGGCTTCCAGAAGAAGCTCAAAAGGGTCGTACAGTGTATAACCCTTCCAACTCTTCTACGTTCAAGAAAATTGAGGGGGCTACTTTCAACATCTCCTACGGTGATGCCTCGTATGCGTATGGTGGTGTGGGTACGGACACTGTCAACGTGGGGGGTGCCATTGTCTCAGACCAAGCCATTGGTATTCCGGATATGGTATCCAGCGCATTCATTGAAGATGCCACCTCAAATGGTTTAGTGGGATTAGGATTCTCGTCTCTCAACACCTTCAAGCCTAAGCAGCAGAAAACCTTCTTCGATAACATTGCCGACAGTCTGCAGGAGCCTGTTATGACTGCGTCCCTCAAAGCCGACGGCGTCGGCGAGTACGAATTTGGCATACTCGATCATGACAAGTACCAGGGCGACATCGCCAATGTGAGCGTAGACTCTTCTAGTGGGTTTTGGCAGTTCGAATCGGCGAAGTTTGCTATTGCGGATGGAGATATACAAACCATCAAAGAGAACCCTACTGCCATTGCAGACACCGGAACCTCGCTTATGCTGCTCAGCCAAGAAGTGGTAGACGCCTACTATGCAAAGATTGAAGGTGCAATTTATGCCAGCAGTGCCAGCGGATACATCTATCCCTGCAATGCCTCGCTTCCGAGTATTTCAGTTGCGTTAGGATCCAAGCATCTGGCGACAGTTCCAGGCAATCTGATCAATTTCTCTGAAGTTGGTATCAACAAGACGACCGGCGGGAAGGGTGAGTTCCTTTTTTTCCAATTTTTTTTTGACTCATTACTCATGATCTACTAGTTTGCTTCGGGGGTGTTCAATCTAACCAAGGGTCCTCGATGCAAATCCTCGGCGATGTGTTCCTGAAGGCCTTCTTCGTGGTCTTCGACTTGCGGGGACCTTCTCTGGGAGTTGCAACCCCCAAATAGTTCGGATACGGTCATCTTGGGTCACATCAATCAACAATTATCGAAAGATAGAGTATAGAATATAAGAAAGATTTCATACACATCTTATCTTTCTTTATCAACGGGTTAGACCCGAGATAGGGTCAAATCATGGACCAAAGGAAGCCAAACGCTCCCCAATTCTGTAGATTACCGGTTATCCATAAGAAGTAGTAGATCATTATCAGAGAATAGGGCAAGAATAAGAAGGCTTAAGAGGATCTACACGCAGAATATCATCGTGAACCAAACCTTAGTTTGGGTATGCTTAAAACAAACGCCGTTTTGGAATGCTGAGTCATGCATTGAAATCCTAACCGGATCTGGTTAGAGCTCGAACAAGCAGCAGACAAAAAAAAATCAAAGCAAAAACCACGCCTTTGAACCGCTCGCAAGTACATTTCAAGAAGGACATCGCGTGTTGTATGCTTTCCAACTAGATTAGATTCATGAACATTATTTAAAGAATATCTTTACGTATTAAAAAAGATCCCAATTGTCTGGGATCTTGGTGGAAAATAAGTCAAATTGTCTCCCTTTAAGCCTGGCGTGACCCTTTTGCGGGCCGCAAGAAGAACCCCGCGGTTGGTTCGACCTTTGGGACTGCGTTTGGGAATCATTTCTGTTGCCCCTCCTTGTCCGCCCACCACTTCATCTTTTCCCTTGTCTCGTGTCCGTCCATTCGCAAAAATGGCCATCAACTCCGCTCCTGAGTCCTCCCTCCTTTCCCTCATCTACCGCTCTTACCCCACCGCTGTCTCTCCCGATGCCACAGAGACCGACCTCTTGACCGTCTCGCCCAAGATTTTCCCTCAGACCACCTTCTCCACCCCGGAAGAAGCCGACATCAAACAATGGCTGGGAACAATCTCTGGTCTCCAGGGTGCTCTTACCAAGGATGAGAAGCCCGTCATCACCACCATCCTCGGGCAGCTGAACAGTCACTTGGCTACGCGGACCACCATTCTCGGGTCAAAGCCTTCCGTTGCTGATATCGCGGCGTATGCCCTTCTGGCTCCAGTAGTGGAGAAATGGAGCCCGGAGGAGCGTACCGGCGAGCAGGGCTACCACCACATTGTGCGTCACATTGATTTCGTGCAGAACAGCCGGTTGTTTGCGCTCCGGATCCCCGAGGAGGAAAAGATTGCCATCGATGTGAACGACGTGCGCTTCGTACCTAAGCCTGTGGACCCTAAGGAAGAGAAGGAGCGCAAGAAGAAGGAGAAGGCTGCTGCCCAGAACGCCGGCGTTCCGGCCGAGGGCAAGCCCCTCGTTGTTGGAAAGGGTAAGCCCGAGGCTCCTAAGGAGGGAGCAGCCCCCGCCGCTGAGGGCAAGCCCAAGAAGGAGAAGAAGGAGAAGAAGGAGAAGCAGCCTAAGGCAAAGCCTGCTCCCGCTCCCGCTGCGCCCCCGTCTCCATGCGCCATTGACCTCCGTGTCGGCCACATTCTTCGTGCTATCAACCACCCCAATGCCGACTCCCTCTACGTTTCGACTATTGACTGCGGTGATGCCCCGGGCTCCGATAACACTTCTTTGGATGAGGCTACTGGCAAGACCGTCCGTACCGTGTGCTCGGGTCTGAACGGGCTCATTCCTCTGGAGGAAATGCAGGGCCGTAAGATTGTCGCTGTTTGCAACCTTAAGCCTGTCACCATGCGTGGAATCAAGTCCGCAGCTATGGTTCTCGCAGCCTCCCCCCGTGTCGCGGAAGGTGAGGACTCGCACGCCGGTCCCGTTGAGCTCGTCAGCCCTCCTGCCGATGCGCCCGCCGGATCTCGGGTGTACTTCGAGGGCTGGAACGACGCCGAACCCGAGAAGGTGCTCAACCCCAAGAAGAAGGTCTGGGAGACCTACCAGCCCGGATTCACAACTACCGATGACCTCGAGGTTGCCTTCGAGGCCAGCGCTGTTCCTGCTGTGCAGGGCCAGGAAGGCAAGCCTGCCCTGGGCAAATTGGTTACTCAGGGAGGTGTTTGCACTGTCAAGAGCCTGAAGGGAGCTACCGTTCGGTAAAGGAGAATAATCACTACATCTATCAATATTAACAAGAAAGAGAGAAACAAAACTGAGCTCAATTCTAGACCAGAAAGTCCGTCAATTATTTATGAATGGTATGGATATATATAAATCACTTGCGTGCATAGCATGGCAGTAAAAGCAACAGTGTTTTAACGTGAAACGACTTCTGTCTCCAATCTTCTATTGTAACGTTTTTGCGCATGTACATACACTAGGTGCCACCACTGTTACACTGTATCTCCTCAATATTCGCCTCTTCGAGATCAATCCCACTTCTGCCCCGCAGACTCCTCCACATCTCAATAGCGGAGAAGCGCCTCTAGATCCGGGAATACCCCATGGTATCCCCAACCCCCAATTCCTTTCCCCCCTCTGTAGGGCAATATGTGAATGTTATATAGGTAACCTACCTGAGGACTGCTCCGCGAGAATCATATACAACCTCTATTCATCAGCTTTTCACAACAACACCGAACTGGAAAGACCACAATGCGAGCAGTTCGCTTCCACGGACGCGGCGACATCCGCGTCGACCAAATCGAAGAACCCGTCTGTCAAAATGGCCAAGTAAAGGTGCAAACCACACACCCAACACGATCAATTCATATCCAGAATCACCCCCACGAACTAACAGAAAACCAGATCCGACCTGCTTTCGTTGGAATCTGCGGAAGTGGTACGTACCACATTCCCATTACACCGACTCCTAGCCCTTCCATCATATCTAGGGGGGGGAAAGAGGAAACAACTATCTAACTGACCCTAGATCTCCACGAATACCTCGCCGGCCCATCAACCGTCCCTCAAACCCCGCATCCGATCACCAACGCCACCCTCCCCGTGACGCTAGGCCACGAGTTCAGCGGCACAGTTGAGGAAGTCGGGGCAGACGTTACAAGAGTCAAAGTCGGGGATCGCGTGGCCGTCAAGCCGAACCTGTACGATGGGACTTGTGCGCGCTGTGTACAAGGGAGGGTGAACTGTTGTCGGAATCTGGGGTTTATTGGGTATAGCAGTGAGCTTTCGGGATTTTCCTTTTCTTTTTTTTTCTTTGGAACTACGCTATTACATAATGGCACCTTTGGTTTTCCTCGCTGATCAACGAGTATAGGTAATGCCGGAGGTCTATCGGACCATGTCGTTGTGGATGAGGAACGGGCAAGACTGTTACCGGAGGAGATCCCGCTTGATATCGGAGGTAAGTATAAAATATATCTTATGTTATAGACCCGGAGGGGTATCAAGGCTAAGGATGCATGTAGCCCTCGTCGAGCCTCTCACCGTAGCCTGGCACGCCGTGACCCGCAGTCCCGTGGCAACAGCCCGTACGGCCCTCGTCGTCGGGGGAGGCCCCATCGGACTCGCCGTGGTGCAAGTCCTTCAAGCCCACGGCGTCGAATCCATAGTAGTAGCCGAGGTGTCAGCGCAGCGACGACGATTCGCCGAAGCCCTAGGCGCCACGGACGTGCTAGACCCGCGAACAGAAGACATCGAGGCCAGAGTGCGCTCGCTGTCGAGCGATGCGGGGGCGGATATCGCTTTCGAATGTTCGGGCGTGCAGGCCGGATTCGATTCTGCACTGAAGGGGGTCCGAGCCCGGGGTACGGTGACAGTCGTGTCACTGTGGGAGGAAAAGCCGGTGATTGATGCGTGGGAGCTGGTTGGGTCCGAGAAGCATGTCATCGGGTCGGCGATTTTCGATGGTGACGATTTTGAGGCTGTTATTGATGCCATCGCGTCGGGTATGTGGGCACTAACTAGTAATGCCTGTTTGCTTTTCCCACGTTTCTTTTGGTTAGATTGCTGACGTTGCAGGAACAGGGAAACTTAAGCCCCAGTCTATGATCACGAGTAAGATCTGTATGGAGGAAATTGTAGAGAAGGGGTTCGAGGCGTTGATCAATGAGCGGGATAAGCATGTCAAGATTTTAATCGATGTATCCGCATGATCCATTCGGGGTGGTGGTCCTCGAGGTACCTCTCTATCCCACATCGTAGATATCCAGAATACCAGATAGTATGCGCAAGTTACACAACTCCCGGTCCAAATCCCAACCATCGTAAGCTAGAATCGCAATTTCTCCGACGCAAGCAATTAGCCGACTGGGTTCGGGAGAGAGAGCATGGTACACCCTGGCACGTTCGTTCAGCTCCGTAGAATAACGCCCACTCAGCCAACTTCACGAACCCAGACCGAGTCCCGACCCAGCTAGCTGCAGAAACCGGAAGAATCAAAAGAGGCCAAAAAGAAAGGCAACATGTCAGCCCTATCTATTACTAGTACTACCTACTATTTACAACTAGAGTGTCAGCAAGAAAAACCCACCACAAGATACTAGTGGCGGGAATAATAACATTTCAACAACGCAGTATAAGCAAACACGTGTTTGGATACGAAGACCAAGACACACGAGTTCAAAACTACACCAATGAAACACAGCATTGAAGCACGACAGTAAGGACAGTAAGGGGACTCACAGCCTGGCCCCAAGGTCCTAGAACCGGAGAAGGTCCCTCACTCACTGCATGAATGACACCACTTTTTTATTTTCTTATTTTTTTTTTTTTTTTT